GTTTCGATATCTCAGCTCTGGAAGGGTCTAGAGACTCAATTTTTGCACTCAGGTCTAAGTCTCATGGCCCTCTATCATAATCCAGAGTTTTGAGAAGATTGGAGAAACTTAATTTTCGACCCCAAAAAAAAAACGACAGTGGTACCCCTTTTGTTTTTTTTTCGGGTCGAAATTTTGAGTTTCGATATCTCAGCTCAGGAAGGGTCTAGAGACTCAATTTTTGCACTCAGGTCTAAGTCTCATGGCCCTCTATCATAATCCAGAGTTTTGAGAAGATTGGAGAAACTTAATTTTTCGACCCCAAAAAAAAACGACAGTGGTACCCCTTTCGTTTTTTTTTTCGGGTCGAAATTTTGAGTTTCGATATCTCAGCTCAGGAAGGGTCTAGAGACTCAATTTTTGCACTCAGGTCTAAGTCTCATGGCCCTCTATCATAATCCAGAGTTTTGAGAAGATTGGAGAAACTTAATTTTTCGACCCCCAAAAAAAAACGACAGTGGTACCCCTTTCGTTTTTTTTTTCGGGTCGAAATTTTGAGTTTCGATATCTCAGCTCAGGAAGGGTCTAGAGACTCAATTTTTGCACTCAGGTCTAAGTCTCATGGCCCTCTATCATAATCCAGAGTTTTGAGAAGATTGGAGAAACTTAATTTTTCGCCCCAAAAAAAAAACGACAGTGGTACCCCTTTCGTTTTTTTTTTCGGGTCGAAATTTGAGTTTCGATATCTCAGCTCAGGAAGGGTCTAGAGACTCAATTTTTGCACTCAGGTCTAAGTCTCATGGCCCTCTATCATAATCCAGAGTTTTGAGAAGATTGGAGAAACTTAATTTTTTCGACCCCAAAAAAAAACGACAGTGGTACCCCTTTCGTTTTTTTTTCGGGTCGAAATTTTGAGTTTCGATATCTCAGCTCAGGAAGGGTCTAGAGACTCAATTTTTGCACTCAGGTCTAAGTCTCATGGCCCTCTATCATAATCCAGAGTTTTGAGAAGATTGGAGAAACTTAATTTTTCGACCCCCAAAAAAAACGACAGTGGTACCCCTTTCGTTTTTTTTTCGGGTCGAAATTTTGAGTTTCGATATCTCAGCTCAGGAAGGGTCTAGAGACTCAATTTTTGCACTCAGGTCTAAGTCTCATGGCCCTCTATCATAATCCAGAGTTTTGAGAAGATTGGAGAAACTTAATTTTTCGACCCCAAAAAAAAAGACAGTGGTACCCCTTTCGTTTTTTTTTCGGGTCGAAATTTTGAGTTTCGATATCTCAGCTCAGGAAGGGTCTAGAGACTCAATTTTTGCACTCAGGTCTAAGTCTCATGGCCCTCTATCATAATCCAGAGTTTTGAGAAGATTGGAGAAACTTAATTTTTCGACCCCCAAAAAAAACGACAGTGGTACCCCTTTCGTTTTTTTTTCGGGTCGAAATTTTGAGTTTCGATATCTCAGCTCAGGAAGGGTCTAGAGACTCAATTTTTGCACTCAGGTCTAAGTCTCATGGCCCTCTATCATAATCCAGAGTTTGAGAAGATTGGAGAAACTTAATTTTTCGACCCCCAAAAAAAAAACGACAGTGGTACCCCTTTCGGGTTTTTTTCGGGTCGAAATTTTGAGTTTCGATATCTCAGCTCTGGAAGGGTCTAGAGACTCAATTTTTGCACTCAGGTCTAAGTCTCATGGCCCTCTATCATAATCCAGAGTTTTGAGAAGATTGGAGAAACTTAATTTTTCGACCCCCAAAAAAAACGACAGTGGTACCCCTTTCGTTTTTTTTCGGGTCGAAATTTTGAGTTTCGATATCTCAGCTCAGGAAGGGTCTAGAGACTCAATTTTTGCACTCAGGTCTAAGTCTCATGGCCCTCTATCATAATCCAGAGTTTTGAGAAGATTGGAGAAACTTAATTTTTCGACCCCAAAAAAAAAACGACAGTGGTACCCCTTTCGTTTTTTTTTCGGGTCGAAATTTTGAGTTTCGATATCTCAGCTCAGGAAGGGTCTAGAGACTCAATTTTTGCACTCAGGTCTAAGTCTCATGGTCCTCTATCATAATCCAGAGTTTTGAGAAGATTGGAGAAACTTAATTTTTCGACCCCAAAAAAAAACGACAGTGGTACCCCTTTCGGTTTTTTTTCGGGTCGAAATTTTGAGTTTCGATATCTCAGCTCTGGAAGGGTCTAAAGACTCAATTTTTGCACTCAGGTCTAAGTCTCATGGCCCTCTATCATAATCCAGAGTTTTGAGAAGATTGGAGAAACTTAATTTTTCGACCCCCCAAAAAAACGACAGTGGTACCCCTTTCGTTTTTTTTTCGGGTCGAAATTTTGAGTTTCGATATCTCAGCTCAGGTGGGTCTAGAGACTCAATTTTTGCACTCAGGTCTAAGTCTCATGGCCCTCTATCATAATCCAGAGTTTTGAGAAGATTGGAGAAACTTAATTTTTCGACCCCCAAAAAAAACGACAGTGGTACCCCTTTCGGTTTTTTTTCGGGTCGAAATTTTGAGTTTCGATATCTCAGCTCAGGAAGGGTCTAGAGACTCAATTTTTGCACTCAGGTCTAAGTCTCATGGCCCTCTATCATAATCCAGAGTTTTGAGAAGATTGGAGAAACTTAATTTTTCGACCCCAAAAAAAAACGACAGTGGTACCCCTTTCGTTTTTATTTCGGGTCGAAATTTTGAGTTTCGATATCTCAGCTCTGGAAGGGTCTAGAGACTCAATTTTTGCACTCAGGTCTAAGTCTCATGGCCCTCTATCATAATCCAGAGTTTTGAGAAGATTGCAGAAACTTAATTTTTCGACCCCAAAAAAAAACGACAGTGGTACCCCTTTCGTTTTTTTTTTCGGGTCGAAATTTTGAGTTTCGATATCTCAGCTCTGGAAGGGTCTAGAGACTCAATTTTTGCACTCAGGTCTAAGTCTCATGGCCCTCTATCATAATCCAGAGTTTTGAGAAGATTGGAGAAACTTAATTTTTCGACCCCAAAAAAAAACGACAGTGGTACCCCTTTCGTTTTTTTTCGGGTCGAAATTTTGAGTTTCGATATCTCAGCTCAGGAAGGGTCTAGAGACTCAATTTTTGCACTCAGGTCTAAGTCTCATGGCCCTCTATCATAATCCAGAGTTTTGAGAAGATTGGAGAAACTTAATTTTTCGACCCCAAAAAAAAAACGACAGTGGTACCCCTTTCGTTTTTTTTTCGGGTCGAAATTTTGAGTTTCGATATCTCAGCTCTGGAAGGGTCTAGAGACTCAATTTTTGCACTCAGGTCTAAGTCTCACGGCCCTCTATCATAATCCAGAGTTTTGAGAAGATTGGAGAAACTTAATTTTTCGACCCCCCAAAAAAACGACAGTGGTACCCCTTTCGTTTTTTTTTCGGGTCGAAATTTTGAGTTTCGATATCTCAGCTCAGGAAGGGTCTAGAGACTCAATTTTTGCACTCAGGTCTAAGTCTCATGGCCCTCTATCATAATCCAGAGTTTTGAGAAGTTTGGAGAAACTTAATTTTTCGACCCCAAAAAACACGACAGTGGTACCCCTTTCGTTTTTTTTTTCGGGTCGAAATTTTGAGTTTCGATATCTCAGCTCTGGAAGGGTCTAGAGACTCAATTTTTGCACTCAGGTCTAAGTATCATGGCCCTCTATCATAATCCAGAGTTTTGAGAAGATTGGAGAAACTTAATTTTTCGACCCCAAAAAAAAAATGACAGTGGTACCCCTTTCGGTTTTTTTTTCGGGTCGAAATTGTGAGTTTTGATATCTCAGCTCTGGAACGGTCTAGAGCCTCCATTTTTGCACTCAGGTCTAATTCTCAGGGCCCTCTATCATAATCCAGAGTTTCAAGAGGATCAGAGAAACTCAAAATTTTGACCCGAAAAAAAAACGACAGTGTTTCGTTTTTTTTTTCGGGTCGAAATTTTGAGTTTCGATATCTCAGCTCTGGAAGGGTCTAGAGCCTCCATTTTTGCACTCAGGTCTAATTCTCAGGGCCCTCTATCATAATCCAGAGTTTCAAGAAGATCAGAGAAAATCAAAATTTTGACCCGAAAAAAAAAAAACGACAGTGGTACCCCTATCGTTTTTTTTTCGGGTCGAAATTTTGAGTTTTCGATATCTCAGCTCTGGAAAGGTCTAGAGCCTCCATTTTTGCACTCAGGTCTAATTCTCAGGGCCCTCTATCATAAGTTTCAAGAAGATCAGAGAAAGTCAAAATTTCGACTCCCCCCCCCCAAAAAAACGACAGTGTTACAACCCTGTCGTTTTTTTTTTTGTTTGGTTTTTTTGGTGCAAAAAAATAAGTTTCTCCAATCTTCTTGAAACTCTGGATTCTGATAGAGGGCCATGGAAGGGTGAGCTTAAAAACCATGTGTCCAGAGTATTGCTTCAGATGGTTATTACAAACGAAAAGAAACTACATTAAATTATTGTCAACTGAATGTTCTTTGTGTGAGTTTAGTCCTGGTGGTTAGCTTTTATATACAGGCAGGCACATTCGTGGACTTTTTGTATTGAATAAAAATAAAGACCTTTTTAGGACTATTAAGATTAGCACTTAAGTTTAGAGTTCTCACTAATAACTAGTTGCTTATTTGGATGGATATTACTAGGATATTGGCTGTTTATTAGTACTTATAAAGCACATATTAATGCTTTATTCTGTATGACCATATATCCTACTCAATACCTAAACTGAACAACCACCTTACTAATTGTTAATAAACGGTAATTAGGAGTTTGAGGCAAAAGTCATAGTTAATAGTGAGAATTGTACCCTAATCTAAAGTGTCATACTTTATATTGCACCTTAACCCACCCTTAAACCTACCCATACCACCAAACTTAACCTAATAAATCAAACTAACCTCAACCTTACCCGTATCCCAGCTCAAAAGCAGTAAAAGTGTTTTGCTAATCAACATGAACAATTAAGTACACTGGACTTATTTTTTATTTGTTTAAGTATATAATAGTTAAATACACCTAAATAGATAGTGTAAAATTAAACTATATAAATGCTTTTGAAATTCCCTACAGTCAGAAGATTCCAGACATGCCTTCAGATGTAGTCGGAGCATTAATGTTTCTGGAGGACTATGTGCGTTACACTAAACTGCCCAGAAAGGTAGGAAATATTGCCATGATATGTTGTATTCATTTTCTTTAGACACAAATATTGCACATCAAAAATCACGAGTAATAGTTATATTGGTTTGCTCTCCTTTTCAGGTGGCAGAGGCTCATGTGCCGAGTTTCATTTTCGATGAATTCAGGACTGTGCTGTAAACATGCCTGTCATAATGTCAAATCATATTCGATATCATTCATCTATCTCTTAAAGCACTAATGAAATTGAGCAATTAGCATTTTTAACATTTCAATTTTTAAACATGGTGATCTTTTGTAGCTGACTGGATGTCTGTCTGCTGGTGTAATAAATGTCATATGTGTGTTTTGATACAACTTTTTAGCACACTTTCGAAGAATGAATCACTTTAACTCACAACCTCTGATGATTTATTGCTTTTATAAAAATGATGGCAACATCAACCTCATATGATTTTCCTTTTTTGCGGATATCGTTGGTTTAACTCATCCTATCAGAATTTAGACTGTGAATTATTATTTCGAGGTACTAAAACTTAAGGGGTGTTACACTGTACCTTTTTTTTGTACACAACACAGGAGACAGGATTTGAATGAAAGTTTAACTTTTATCTTAAATATATTACAATACTGAATGGATACTGTATGAAAAAAAGAGCTTTTATCGTTTTAATTATCAGTCTATGTACAGCACACAATGAAAGAAAATTATAGCCATGAAGAATCTATGAATACCAACACTGCGTACACGGTCAGATGAACAGAAGTGAAACAACAGGGTGTGACAGCGGCTGACTTGATAAAGACCTTACAGCTGAAAAACAAAAGGGTTAATGCGGTCCTGGATTCCATTATGTGTGTGGTTGCTCTGTTTGTGTTTAATATGATTTGCCTTAAATACATTCATTGATATTTTGGTTGTGTCCTTCAATCAGGATCAATGCGCTGAGATGCCTGATGCATTGATTATGACAACTGGCACCAGACTGACGTTTAATTCCAGTACGAATGTGCATTTGTTTCTGACAGGTCAGGGTCACAGTGAGCCGAGTATTGCTTCAGATGGTTATTACAAACGAAGAGAAACTACATTAAATTATTGTCAACTGAATGTTCTTTGTGTGAGTTGAGTCCTGGTGGTTAGCCAAACATTACATATAATGTAATTTTGCACGTAAACTGCAAATACAATCACACGGAAATAGGACAAGCGCCCCACGTTGTGTACAAAGACGACCTGAAATGAAATAAAAACTTTAATTTGCACAAAAACCTATCGCGGCATTAATCATTCTAAAGCACTTAATCGTCGTCGGGGTTAAATATGTACATACTAATACTGGGGAGGAGGGAAAGACTTTACAAATTTACCTTAAAAATACTTCGTATGCATCATGGCGGTGTTACGGGACGTTATTCGTGGATTACAGGCAGAGTGCAAAAATCAGTGCCGACAGGTCGACCGCACAGCAGACTATGTACAGATGAAAACTGCCATTAATAATACAATACTGACCAGAAGTAGGCAATCGATCAAGACCGAGTGGTCACGTGACCAGAGAGAGTGTAGAAGAGTGTCATGCTGTAAACAAACATCTACCAAAGAATCTGAAAACTGATTATGGGTTCACAACAGCTATAGTTACATACATGTTATTTAGGGAGAATGAATCTCAACATTGATTACTCCCTAAATCTCATTAATTCATCAAAGGAAATATGTTTAGTCTTACATTCACACACCGCCAGGTTTTTTGTTGTTGATAATATTAGTTTTAGCCACTTGTGGAACCCATGACAGCCATTTATTTCATCTGTGGCTGTGTCCGAAATCTCCACTCAAACCACTACTCCCTACCTCCAGTAGAGCCCTATATAGGGAGCTCACAAGCATAATAGAAACACCACTTTCGGACACTACTCGATCGTCTCTCGGCGCTGTTGATTACGTCATTGCTGTCGCCCATCCGCCATTTCTACGATCAGCGCAATGCATGATGGTATGCAGGGCTTGGGTTAGTGACCATCGGTTGTACACTACTTTTCAAAATGCATTCTGGGATACATTGAGTGGACTATATAGGGTATTATAATCATCATCACATACATTCGGACAGCACTACAAAATGGCGAGCTCACTATATAGTCCACTATATAGTGAGCAGTGGGAGATTTCGGACACAGCATGTGATTCTGAATTAGACATTAATTCTGACGTTCGTTCTATCCACCTAATTTTTTTTCAACACGGAAATATTTAAGGATTTAATTGAAAATACAATTTTTTGTTGTTGTTAGAAATGAGCGAGACGACCGAATCATCATCGGGTAAACAAGAATAACTAAGTGTGCAGTTAACTGTAAAACTATTTGCACTGCAAACCGGGGTTTACGAGAATGAATTAAAAATAAAATGAGAACAAATACCAGTTTGCCATGTGAAGAAGAATAACGGACTACCAGTGAACAGGGAATGTTCTCTGTAACATTCAGAAATAATGTTTTCATAGCTTAATGGGAACATAAGCAAAACATTCGTAGAAACTTTTTTTTGTTAGCTGTGCTGTCTTTGTTGACAGTTGACACCGGATTCCTTGCACCAAGGCCATTTCTGCTTGCACATTCAAGTTTTAATTGTTCCTATTACATAAAAAATAAGGTGGATAGGTGATATATGCAAATCTGTTCCTGTCGTTTTTATGAATGCAGCATGTACCACAAAAAAGCCAAGTTCCCAAAACAATCAGCTAAAATCACATTCCTTACGCTTACGAGAGAATTAATATATAACATGGGAGGATGACAATGAGTGAATGAAAGAATTGGATTAGGTTGTGAAAATGAGGGAAAATAAACACATTTGAAACACCGACAGGGACAAACTAAGGCCTCTTGCTCGTTACAAAACAGAAGCGCATGGTCCACATTTAATTTTCTCTTGTGTTGTCAGGATAGCACTTGTGCAATTACATAAACTCACTGATTTTCTAAATGTATGTTGTTGATCTTATTGTGAATGATTCCTCCATGCATGTTTCATTTTTAAATAATTTTTGACTATGTAATGTTTAAAATGTCATAACTCGATCTTTGCCATACTTCTCTCTGCCAGACTTTCCCAATAATTTAGTCTGCTTAACTTAAACTCCGCCCCTATCTTAAAAAACTGAGTGCAAGTTTACATTCAGATCTGCCTCCATCCAATCAACAACCGAACCAAGCTCTCGCCCTACATTTTTCTTTTTATGCAATCTATTACGCTCGGATATACGTCAGAATGCGGAACAAAAGATCTGTCGCTATTTCTGTTTCATCACGACTTAAAAAATTTTCATAGCACCTTTAACAACCCCATCTAAAGTAGAAGTGCTCACGTCACAAGAGCGTTAGTGATTGCCACGTGGTGCTATGATCTGGGACGGATGCAGAAAACATGAAACAGCGCTTCTGTCTTGTAGCGTGCACTAGGCTTGGGATGGATTCTGTAAATTTAGAAAGACGATCACAGGACAGACACTCTAAAGCAGGAGAAAAGTTCTGCCACGCTCTCCACGATCAAACATTAAAACCGAAAAATACTACAATCTCACATTTCACTCTGAATTATATGACATATGTACAAATTTCTCTGAGAAAAGGTGACCATATGAACGGGGCCGGATGGTGTTCTGGTGATGCGGACATGGTGGGGGGGGGCGTTTCAAACGTGATTGAATCTTACCAGCCTACGGAGCTGTCCTTCGATACATGCGGCACCCTTGAGTGAAAGATCTAAAATCATTTGTACATTGTTACACTACAAGGAATCGATAAACATGTTTTCTCATGCATACAGCAGTAGGTTCTACAGTGGCAGCGTGCGTTCAAAACAATAGTTAACTTCCTGCTCCTGCATGAGCTTCTTGCACCCGGGCAATCACAAGACAGCATGTGTTTGGAGGCGGGGTTTAATGAGGGCACGAGTGGCTGCTGTTGTCTCAGTTGTTTGTCATTCTGGGTTTGTATCGTGATGAAATCATGTTCCTGAGTCCTGTTTGCGAATGACAGCAGGAATATGACCCTGATGCCGCACCCCTCAACATTTAGGGTAAGACGGCTCCATGCCACAAATACTGAAGAAGGAGACCACGCCCAATTCTTCCATTCACTAGTCCCTTGTTTCTCCATTTGAATTCCGTATTTTGTAACTGGTTTCATTTTCTCATTCATACAAAAGCAGAGGAAAATCCTTACGGAGGTTTTGCAGACCAGTTTCGAGGAGTTCTTTTATATTGACGTTTCCCACAGCTGAAACAAACAGACAAAAAACTAAATGAACACATGCTAGTAAATATGACTCATGTCATTTAAAGCTACACTGTGTAACTCTTTTAGTTTATTCTTAGCTAAAAACACTTATATATGTGCTCATTAATGTATATTTACTTCGTTCAAGTAATAAAGTATTCTCGTGAGTGTATAATACGCCATTGAAAATACATACGGGTAAGGGTTTCTAATGTCGGTCGCCATGTTGTCCCTCCATCTTGAAAGTACATTAGCCAAAGAGGGACATACCCGTTAATTTAAGCTTCGCCTTTCGCGTTTACGTTTGAGTTAACACTCATGGACGAGGTCGAACTGGAAGCCATGTTAATCTTGGACTACATTGGCCACCGTAGGAGTTAAAACGAAATCGGAATTGAGAGGAACAGAAACTAATATTCATCTTTTCACCACTAGATGGGGGTAAAAATCACACAGTGTAGCTTTAACAAAACAACTATTCATATATTTTTCAGAACGAATTCACTTTGTTATAGAGGGTATGCGTGTGACGTCACCGTCGGCCGGAGTGCCTGCAGTTACTCACAGTGAGTGGCAAAAAGACTGAGCGGCTGTATTTGTTGTCAGCGTGAATGTCGCGAAAAACAAACACAACACATATAAAGTGGGAAAGAGCTTTGCAATTGACTGTACAACTAGATTTAGTGAGTCTTACCCTGGCACTCTGTCTGTTGGCCTTCCTCTCTTCGTCTGGAAGGGGAGGCATGGGGTAGGGGTATCTCCGGCTGGAGGCGATGGAGCCCGTTGAAGAGGTGGGCGATTTGGCCGGTGACAGAGTCCTGTGGGATCAGAGAGATGTGACATTAGTACTGAAGTGTGTGAACTGGATAACAGCGTCAAGATCCAGAACAAACATGGACCTGTCACCTTTGACCTCTTGAAGAGGTCAGAGGGAGTGTTCCCACGGCAAGCCATCATCCAAAATCACTAACTTCATCAGTCCTTGCCACAAAAGTACCCACCCAATAAAACAGTGAAGCTGGGCAGATAATGCAAGCACAATGCAGTGCTTTTGGGATGTTTAACGAACAAACATACCCGGCGTCATGTGGGCTTACAAACATGGCGGACATGATGAGGTGACCAGGACAGACACAAGTGATCATCATCACAGAGAACATGGCAGCCATACATTGATGACATCATAGAGTGGACAAGCGAAAAGTTAAGCAGCAGCCGGCATGCAGAGAGTGTGAGAGGGACAGAACCGTGAAGGAGGAATACACTACAAATATCATACAAACACAAGAGCTTTAACTACAATCAATGAGTCTGGTTTGGCCTTTTGATGTACACATACAGATGCACAAATACAAGAACCTAAACAGAGCACCTGAGTGAATCTCATATTTCAGTCCAAAATCAAATGGTTGAGTAAAATTCATTTTAAATAGTCTTTATTTGTATTTATAATGTTCAGATAATGTCACAAAATCCTTCAGGGGCCATTTCTTATTTCTGTTGATTTTGGGGTGAAATCTGATCTTGGTTTTGTGATATGATCATATGAAAGGCATGGATACTTGCATCTCATGGTTATTGATGTTTACATCAAATGATTTACTGAATAACAAATGCCTTCCGTCTCCTTTAAAGACAAGTGATCAGTTATACGACTAAATTGGGATGTACTGTATGATAGGAAGGTTTCTAAGGACAAGCAATTAAGATTCATGATTACAAAACTCTGGATGTAACTCTTTGAAATTGTAGAAATGTTCATGAGTTTAGCAGATCAAAAAGAAACAAATACATCGAAACAAAACCCTTCAAACCCTAACGCTCAGCTCTCATCTCTGAAAAATGATATTTGGTGAGGGAAAAAAACAACTGAGGAGGGAAACTGATGGATAGGGGACAGATATAATGCAGTCTGGTGTTTTGTACCTAATATAAGGTCCTTCAGTGTTTTTATTCACATCTTCTACCCATTTAGTAACATAATACTCTGATTTGACGCAAGGGGTTAAATACCTGCAGGAGGAGGATGGGGAAGGAGCGATGGTGAACAGAGAGAGAGAGAGAGAGAGAGAGAAAGGGAAGGGAAGGGGAGAAGAAAAGATAAAGAACAGGAGAGATAGGAGAAAGAAGGAAGTTGGTAAAAGACAGCAGAAGCACTGACATTCTTTTTGGTCCAAGATGCAGGTGAGAGATCAGACATCAGATATCATATCAAGTTTTTTCGCTTTGTGGCTGGTGCAGGACAAAACAAAAAGAAGACTCTACAAAACACAGCTGCTGTAACATCAGCATCCAATTGACCTTAGTTCTCAGTATTTTTTAAAAATTTGTCTTCATTTACGTATCCTCATGTTGTTTCAATCCTGTATGACTTTATTTCTTCAGTAGAACACAAAGCAAAATGTCCCTTTACATACAATTAAAGTGAACAGGGAAAGGGGTTCTGACCTTTCTGTTCATTAAAGAATCTTGACAAAAATGAATCACACAATTTCCACAAAATATATTACCTGTTTACAATATTAATAATAAAAAAAATGTTTCTTGAACACCAAATACGCATATTGGATCTGAAAGATCATGCCTTGATCAAATAAATGCAGCCTTCATGAGCATATGTATATATTCAAATATATAAAATATTTATATAATATACACTACCGGTCAAAGTTTTAGATCAGTAAGATTTTTTATGTTTTTAAATGAAGTCTCTTCTGCTCACCAAGGCTGCTTTATTTGATGAAAAAAACGGCAAACAGAAATATTGTGACAATTTAAAATGACTGTTTTCTATTTTAATATATTTTAAAATGTAATTTGAAAGCTGAATCACCAGTTTTCAGTGTCACATGATCCTTCAGAAATCATTCTAATATGCTGATTTTATGCTCAAAAAACATAAATTATTATTTTCAATGTTGAAAACAGTCGTGTACCATTTTTCCCCAAAAAGTTCAAAAGAACAGCATTTATTTAAAATAATCTTTTCCAACATTATAAATGTCTTTACTGTAACTTTTGATCAATTTAACTCATCCTTGATGAATAAAAGTATTTTCTAATTTCTTTCCCCCAAAAATAAAAAATAAATTCTTACTGACCCCAAACTTTTGAATGGGAGTGATTAATGTTACAAAAGCTTTCCATTTCAGATCAATTCTGTTCTTTTGAACTTTCTATTCATCAAAGAAACCTTAAATAAAATGTAAAAAAAACTGTTTTCAGCATGGATAATAATCATAAATGTTTCTTGAGCATCATGTTATAATAATTTCTGTTGGATCATGTGACACTGAAGACTGGAGTAATGATGCTGTAAATTCAGCTTTGATCACAGGAATAAATTACACTTCACTATATATTCACATACAAAACCGCTGTTTTAAATTGTAATAATATTTCACAATATTACTGTTTTTTTGTATTTTTTATCAAATAATTGCAGCCTTGGTGAGCAGAAGAGACTTCTTTTAAAAACATAAAAAATATTACCGATCTAAAACTTTTGACCGGTAGTGTCTGTATCTAAATTGTTGTTTGGTATCACTGACATCAACCTGGCACTATTCTTCAAGCACTTAGGTTGAATATGTGTATGTGGGCATTAGATTTAAGAGCTATGGTAGAGGTGAAGGTTATCAGTCAATAAAGGATTTCGATCTCTTCCTAATTTCATATGGCCTTAGATGTCTCGAAATATAGTGCATTTTGGGCTACTTTTATTATTCTTATTTGGCTAAACAGCCCCTGGTCACTGAATAGTTAAGTAAAAGCAACAGAAAGTCATTCAGGTTTGGATTGGAATGGCATGAAGATGAGTAAAGGTGACAGAATATTTATAGTTTGAGTGAACTATTCCTTTAAATTTAGCAGAAGAACTTCAAGCTATTCAACGTTAAAGCACATCACAGAAGTGTGACGCCACTTCCTAATGCATTTTTGAATGCTTTGCTTGAGATTTGAACAAATATTACAAAATAAAGTAGTAGTATTTGTGTAGGTCAGCTAAATGATGTTCTTTGGTCAGTTTGTCACATGCGTTTGAAAAAGGAGAGTGCAGAAACAAGCGTCAAGCTGAAATCAGAATCTGAGTGTATATTGTGTTCATATACAGATGAAGACGTGCAGGTAAGTTTCGGCGTGCTGTTCGTTCCAGAGATTAAACCAATGCACACCAAAAACAAATCAGCATTTACACCAAACACAGAACAAATTCATCTTGGACACACTGCAGTACTGATACATGGCATAGAGTTTAAGACTCCATGCAAAGTCCAATATCAACCTGTGTATGGCAAGCCGTTTTAGCTTTTATTCATTTCTAGGATATGAATTCTTGATATCAACAATTCAATTGTTGATATCAACAATTACATTTTTTGATATCAAGAATTTAATTCTTGATATCAACAATTAAATTATTGATATCAACAATTATGTTCTTGATATCAACAATTACATTCTTGATATCAACAATTACATTCTTGATATCAACAAATACATTTCTGATATCAAGAATTCAATTGTTGATATCAACAATTACATTTTTGATATCAACAATTGTATTTTCACTAGTGAAATGTCCCCATAGGCTGCCATTCAAAACCAATTGTTGATATCAAGAATTGATTTCTTACTAGTTGAAATTCCAATTTCACATCAGAAATACAATTATTACTAGTAAAAAACTTTATTTTTGATATCAAGAATTCAATTGTTACTAGTTGAAATGTTATTCCTGATATCAACAATTGAATTGCTACTAGTAACAATGTTCATTTTTGATATCAATAATTCAATTTTCACTAGTGATAGTGTTAATTTCTGATATCATGAATGTGATTGTTACTAGTAAGAAAGCCATTTTAGATATCTGAAATAATATTGATATCAGAAATATATTTTCAGATATCAAAAATGGTAATTTTTACTAGTAACAATTGAATTGTTGATATCAAGAATAAACATTTCAACTAGTGACAATTTAATTATTGATATCAGGAATTGACATTTTTACTAGTAACAATGTAATTATTGATATAAAAAATGATATTTCTACTAGTAAAAAATCAATTCTTGATATCAACAATTCATTTTGAATGGCAGCCTATGCCGTTTTAGCTTTTATTCATTTCCAGGATATGAATTCTTGATATCAACAATGCCAATTTTTGATATCAAGAATTTAATTGTTGATATCAAAAATTGAATTCTTGATATGAACAATTGAATTCTTGATATCAACAATTCAAATCTTGATATCAACAATTGAATTGCTGATATCTGTAATTGTATTTTCACTAGTGAAATGTCACCATAGGCTGCCATTCAAAATGAATTGTTGATATCAAGAATTCTTTTTTAACTAGTAGAAATATCATTTTTGATATCAATAATTACATTGTTACTAGTAAAAATGTGAATTCCTGATATCAATAATTAAATTGTCACTAGTTGAAATGTCTATTCTTGATATCAACAATTCAATTGTTACTAGTAAAATTGTTACTTTTTGATATCTGAAAATGTATTTCTGATATCAATATTATTTCAGATATCTAAAATGGCTTTCTTACTAGTAACAATCACATTCATGATATCAGAAATTAACACTATCACTAGTGAAAATTGAATTATTGATATCAAAAATGAAAATTTTTACTAGTAGCAATTCAATTGTTGATATCAAGAATAACATTTCAACTAGTAACAATTGAATTATTGATATCATAAATAAAGGTTGTTACTAGTAATAATTGTATTTCTGATATGTGAAATTGGAATTTCAACTAGTAAGAAATCAATTCTTGATATCAACAATTGGTTTTGAATGGCAGCCTATGGGGACATTTCACTAGTGAAAATACAATTGTTGATATCAAGAATTCAATTGTTGATATCAAGAATTACATTTTTGATATCAAAAATGTAATTCTTGATATCAACAATTGAATTCTTGATATCAAAAATGTAATTGTTGATATCACGAATTGAATTGATGATATCAATAATTTAATTGTTGATATCAAAAATGTAATTCTTGATATCAAAAAATGTATTTGTTGACATCAAGAATGTAATTGTTGATATCAAGAATTCATATCCTGGAAATGAATAAAAGCTAAAACGGCTTGCCAGCCTATGGTGACATTTCACTAGTGAAAATACAATTACAGATATCAGCAATTAAATTATTGATATCAACAATTCAATTCTTGATATCAACAATGCCATTTTTTGATATCAAGAATTGAATTGTTGATATCAAGAATTGAATTGTTGATATCAACAATTAAATTCTTGACATCAAAAAATGGCATTGTTGATATCAAGAATTCATATCCTGCGGATGAATAAAAGTTAAAACGGCTTGCCATACCTGTGTTTCCAAATAAAAGAAAACACGTCTCTATTTCAATACAAAATCTCTTACTCTGTGGAGTTGGAGCGAGGACGGAACTTCTTCCCTCTGAGCTTCTTACGGGTACCTGTGATGTTTCCTGCAGTGACAGAGGAGACAAACATGTGATATGAATGCTGAGATTAATCTGATGTAAGCTCTGTCATTTAGAGCTGATGCATTTATGGATGTGTTACCTTGCCATGAGTTGCTCCTGGGTCGTCCGTTTTCACAGACGTCAGAGATGTGCTTGGCATCTGGGATTCTTTCACTCCACGAGTGAGACAGACCGTTAGATCTTCAGACCAAAGAAGAGAGAAATTATCTTTTAAATACCTTAAATGCCGTTATAGAGATTAAAAGGGTTCTGTATGAGAAAAACAAATGCCTGAGAAGTCACATGGGTCATTCCTACTTAGCAGTACACTTTACTGTTCCTATCGTGTATGTCTTAATATATTGGATAACATTAAACTCACGTTAAACATTAAATCGTTATACTCGCTGTTATATATCACTGGGATATTTTTTCTCATGTCTCTGGGTGCTGCAATCACTTCTTATATGGAAAAATTGCCACTATATTTTCAAATAAACGTCAAATTACTTAATGAAATCACCATCATCCAAGTGATATCATGTACTTCTTTTTAGGTCTCTCTTAAATTATAACTACAGTATATTCATTTCGTACTGTGAAGCAGGAATGATTCGCAACACTGTGATGAGCTGAACAAACACACTGATGAGTGAGATGAGCATGAGATCATGGAGATGGGACACCATGAAGACACTGACTTACTTACTGCCTCAGTATTAGTGGTACTAGAGCCTGTTAAGACTTTGACAATAACCAAGAGAGGGACAAACAGACAGTTACAGAATTTTGAGCCAATAGCACAAACCTGCAACGGACAACTCATCAAGGAAGTAATAAAAAGTCTTCAGTAAAAATGACATCCTGTAGAAAGAACTGCACACTTTATCTTAAAAAGTCTGTGCCAAATAAAAAGGGAATTATTTAATTCTTTAAATAAATAGAGCTCAGTCAAAATGAATCGGCCCTTAAAAAAAACAACAACACAATCTCTCTTTAGGAGATCTCTTGAATCTCTCAGTTGTATTTCCTAGACAGTAATGAGACAAACTTCAGAACAAATAGTGATGTTTGGCTCTAAGAAGTTTTATGTCTTATGCCTAGAAAGCATTTTCACAGAAACATCTGAGACAAAGTTGATCCTTAAAGGGATAGCTCACCCAAAAATAAAAATTCTGTCAGTATTGTTCCAACCCCGTAAGACTTTCGTTCATCTTCTGAACAAAAATTCAGATATTTTTAATGAAATGTCTGACAGCTGTCTCACTGGTAATTGATATCTGCCAGCTCAGAAATGTTAGTAAAGACATCGTTGAAATAGCTCAAGTGACTACAGTGGCTCAACCTTAAAATTATCAAGCGATGAGAATACTTTTTGTGTGCAAAAACAAACAATAATACCGACTTTATTCAACCATCTCTTCTCTTCCATGTCATTCTCCTAAGCTGTTGACGTAGTGTAACAGCGCAGCACTTCTGGGTTGTACATCAGAGCTTAGACTAACTATTATATAGTGATTATGTATTAATACAAAGGCCAATAGTGAGCCTTTGTTCTGACGTACAACCCAGAAGCGCTAGATGAACTCACTCAGAAGCCCACACAGATGAAAATGAATAGTTGAATAACCTCATTATTTTAGTTTTTTTGATAAACTTAAGGTTGAGCCACTGTAGTCACTTGTACTATTTTACAATGTCTTTACTAGCTTTTCTGGGGTGTCAGATATCTTAATTTGTGTTCCGAAGATGAACGAAAGTCTTACAGTGGGTGAGGGTGAGTAATTACATTTACATTTATTCATTTAGCTGACGCTTTTATCCAAAGCGACTTACAATTGCTATATGTCAGAGGTTGCACACCTCTGGAGCAACTAGGGGTTAAGTGTCTTGCTCAGGGACACATTGGTGTCTCACAGTGGATTCGAACCCGGGTCTCTCACACCAAAGGCATGTGTCTTAACCACTGCGCCATCACCACCCCGACAGAACTTTTTTTACTGATGGAATTTTCTGGGTGAACTAACCCTTTAAATTTAACATAATTGAAAACTCCAACTTCAAGTCTTTTGAGCTCTCAAAGTAAACTTTCCTATTTGTTTTTAAAATAAACGTTCCACTATTTGTTAGTGAAGCAGGCAAAGCGATGAAGATGAAGATGGAGATGAAGCACACCTGAAGCCGAAAAGAGAGATGTTTTGGCTGATGGAGGGGATAGAGGGGGTGAAAGAGCAGGTGTTGATCTGGAAGTGAGACAGGTAAGCAGACCTCTTCTTGGAGCTGCTTCCAGAGTTCGAGCTCACGCCCTGCGGCATGTCACTGTAGAGAGAATCCGCGTCTCCTGGCTTCTTCACGTAATCACCCGGAGGCATTTGACTGACAAACAGAAACAAAATTTGATCTGAAAACTGGGCTGGGAATATCGTCCGCCAGCAAAAATGTTATCACTTAGGAAAATATATAACCACCAGTCAAATGTTTGGGGTCAGTAAGTTAAAAAACAGAAAAAGAAATGAATACTTTTATTCAGCAAGGATGCATTAAATTGGTCAAAAAAAACAGTAAAAACATTTTGTATTGTAACAAAAGGTTCTACTGTTAATGTTTCAAATAAGTCATGTTGTTGTTTTTTTTACTTCATATTCATCAAAGAATTCTGAAAAACAATGCATCAGTTTCCACAAAAAATATTAAGCACAGCACAACATTGATAATTATAAGAAATGTTTCTTGAGCAGCAAATCAGCATATTAAAATGATTTCTGAAGAATCATGTGACACTGAAGACTGGAGTAATGATGCTGAAAATTCAGCTTTGTCATCACAGAAACATTTAAATATATATATATATATATATATATACTGTATATTTCACTATATTGCTATATTTCTGATCAAATAAATGCAACCTTGGTGAACATAAGAGACTTCTTTCAAAAACATTTAAAAAAATCATTCCAAGCCAAACTTTTGTACGGTAGTCTGCAAGCCAAAATGTAATACTGTATGTAAGGTGTTTGTTCTAATTCTTAATCCAAAAGTACGAGCAATAATAATAATAATTCAAAACTTTCCACTCCTTCACTCGACACATAAAAGAACACTATAAAATGAAGAGAAAGCTGAACAAACCGACAGAATCTTCGATGTACATCAGATTCAACATACTGACGCTGCCTGTAGCTCCTTCATGGGGAGAGCGGAAAAAACACAATTAACAAAATAAACAGCAAGAGAAAAATCATAATAAAATAACAAATATATGTACAATTCCAGTTTAAACTTTAAAGGGATATTTCACTCAAAAATTACATTTTTGTAATTCATTTACTTACCCTCATATATTGTTCCAAAACCGTATGTTATGATTTTTTCCCTTCCATGGAGCACAAAAGGAATAGTTTAGAATATCTCTTCATTTTATTGAAAAACAGCTGTTTTGACGATTCTGCTGATCGTATTTAGTGAAAGAAAGTCAAGTTTGGAACAACATGAGGGTGAGTAAATGATAATTGAATTTTCATTATTGGATGGACAACTCCTTTAGGGAAAGTTTAATAATGTTTTCAGCTAGTGAGACATCAGCAGTCATGTGACTCACTTATATCCCCACGCAGAAATGCCTAGAATCAGTGCAAGGACCAGGATGGAGCCAGCAATGGCCCCGATGATGATGTTAGTAGTTGCGATGCCTGTCAGAGGAACAGAATGGTTAATCTGTAGCCATGGCAACTAGCAGACAACACTGACCTGCAATCATCTGGACAAAGCAAAACTAATCTGGATGTAAACATGATTCATATTCATGTTTGATTTAGCATTTTGTTTGTTTTGTCCCGTAGACCGCTTGACAAAATCAATCTGAAATAAAGACAGATAAAGACAGGAACTAGAAAAAAGATTAAGATAAAAATGTATGCCTTTCTCTTTATGGAGGCTGTATGTTAAAGCCATTCATACACATCAAATCCATGAAACAGGGTATATGACAAGGTTTATAACAACACAGCACAGCATATACACACTGTTAGCTTTCATTCAGACAGAAACACGGAGGAATAATGGGGTGAGTTAACGACAAAACGACAGAGAAGAAACGACAAGAAACAACAACTCAAATCTAAACTCACTGTCACTCCAGCAAAAGACATGAGCCTGTCCACAAAGAACGAGTGCGTATAAACAAAAGCCATGAAACAGAAAAATAAAAAGAGAAATTAAAAGCGTGTGAAATGTGTGAGTGGTGAATGAACTGTTGAACATGAATATGACAGAACAAAAGAATAACACACTAATAAGAAAATGAAATAATTATATATTTTTTTACACATTTAATAACAGGAACCATCAAATTTAGCCTAACACCCCTAATCTAATTAGATTCAAAATATTTAATGTAAGAAATAATCTGATGTAAAATGACTAGTAAATAATCAAGAAATTCTATGCTGTTGACAAAATAAATTAAAAGGATAAAATCCTTCAGTGCGTTAATATTGCTGGTGCCACGGTTTCATGTTGTGCTTGAAAAAGCATCTTATCACAGGTGAAATCGCAGTAATGCACTGCATCACATGGCTTATTACTTGCATTTTGACATATGTTATTTGTTTTAAAGAAATAACCTATGAAATATGTTCAGAAGTGGCACCTCGTCTGATTCTTGCAACTTTGGTAATGAAGAGTTCACACTTGCTGGAGCCTTTACACATAACCACCATGTCTTCTGTCATCAGCTTATTTGTAATGCGTGTTGGTAAAGGATCTCTGAGTAGGGAAACTGTGACTGGTTCTGTGCATCATCCTTTTGTGAAGTCTAAGGGGAAGAGGAAGTTTGGCCTACCTGATGTTTTGGCTGTGGGACGCACCAGCAGGTAACTCAATGGTGAGGTGGAGTTACAGTCCTCACCTGCCCAGCCCAGGTCACACACACATCTGAGCTCATTACTGCACACCTACAACACACACACACACACATAGTATTGTTTATCAGCATTTCAACTAAATCTTTTGCTTGCAGAACACGCAGGGACTGAAATCAGTGAATTGTTTATTTACATACAAGTCGGCATTAAACACATTTTTAGTGACAAAAAAATGACCTTTAGAGGAGTTCAATCCGACTCACACCATGATTTGAGAAGAAAATAAAAATTGATTTATGCTATTTACTTAAAATGATAAATTATTATTCTCTTCTTATTATTATTCATGCTGTATATTCATAATAAAATATATTTAACTATACACATTTTATGTATTTTTTTAGTCAAAATGTATTTTAGCTTGGGTTAGGGTTTGTTCTATTGCATGTTTCAGGTCATATCATCATTTCAACTGAAGCTGGATCAGTGGGTGACACAACTGTCCCCGTTCACACCACACATAATCTCTCACCCCATGTCCGGAGCAGATCACCCTTTCATTGGTGCCAGGGCACGTGCTGAAGTTGAACTCCTGCACTAGGAGGCATTTGTGGTTAAAGCAGATGCGATCCGTCCCACATGCCGTTCCGTCCTCTACGTATCCCAGATCAGTGTCGCCGTCAATCAGCACATGCCCTCCACTGAAACATTCACACTTACTTTAGGAAAATGAATCAACACATAGAAACCTGAAGTGAGTGTCTCTGACTGTACCTGCAGTCCAGTGATGCGCTGTGCTGGGCCACAGAGAAGGAAGTCAAACCTCCCTGTAACTCTCCTAGTCTGGGTGCTGGAGAAATGTTGGAGCAGAGCAGGTATCCACAGTTTACATCCCTGAAAACACACGTGCACACTTTTTAATCTCTGTTCCAAGTTAAATGATCTTACACATCCCTGACATGCTTTAATGACTTAACTCAAATGTGATCACTACTAGTAATTAAAATTACAATAGTCTTACTTAAAACCATCGCACTTGTACCACTTGACTGCTGCAGATTCATTTCAGCATTGATAGTGTTGCCAGAGAAAAGCATTAATCCGCATATGAAGATGTGAACTGCTTCGGTTACGACCGTAATTACGCTTACGACATGGCATGAACACAGCATAAGCTTGTTGTTTAGGCTCAGGAGGAACTGTAAAAGGTGGCTGCTGTTTGTTTGTGGCGCTCTGTGACTGTCTGTCTACAAGTCTGCACAGCCTCATGAAACACGCTGTTGATGTGTGATGTCTGCACGAACAGGGTGCGGAAATACATATGTTGACAAGCAGGTAGTACATCCTAGGAATGCAATGATTGGACCAATATTTTTTTGGTCTTTTTGGATATATGTACGTGTTTTATTATTTAGACCACTTCTATTATTGATTGCTATCAGGATGTGAAGAGAGTTTTAACCTTTTTTTTTACACTACTTCTAAGTGTAATTTTATATACATGAACCTGACATGGAAATTCATTACCCATTACTTTCATGTAGTAACCTATTATGCCGGTCAAACTCACTGTTTTTTACACTGAATCCAGGTGTCTTTGTCACGTCCACAGTTGCCCTTCTCTGTCCCCTCAATGTTGAGCTTCTCATAGCAAAACTTATCAGCCGATGTCGCTTCTTTTAAAACAAAAATATCCAATTATAATCACACGAGAACCACACACCAACAACAAAAAACATATTTCAAACAGCAGGAAGTGATATCACACCCACCAGTTTTATTAGCATTAACTAAAACTAAAAAAAAATGTTTTTAGTGATTGAATATATATATATATATATATATATATATATATATATATATATATATATATATATTAGATCAAAGACTTAGATAAAAATACTAAATGTTGCCTTGGCAGCTAACTTCAACATCAAACTGAAACTGAAAGCTAAATGGATATATATATATATATATATATATATATATATAAACTAACAAAAGTGACAAAAGGACATGAATGACTAAACCTTAAAATTAAAACTAAAAATATAAATAAATACTCTAATAGTATATAAACACTACTAAAAAACTGTCACTCACTCTCTCCCCAGAGGTACTTGCACTGCCTGTCCTTGGTTTTGCATCTGCCATTGAAACATCTTCCCTGAAATGAGATCAAATGAACAAAAATAGGTCACATAATATAAATTGTAATTATATTTCATATATATTTACATATTTTTAAAAACGCACTTGGTCTTTCTCACATGAGTACCCATCCATCTTGTGCAGGTTTGGAGGACACTGTAAAAAATATATTGAGTTATTTACACAATAAATATAACATATACCATTAAAAATTATTCACTAGAGGAAAGAAAAAGAGCATGTTTATACTGTCACACTATCTGCTATTTTTAAACATATGTAGTATGCACTATATAGTTCATATGTCATATGCTGTGCTGGTCACCATGATTTTGCCAAGTAAGACATGTCTCTGAATCAACATATTTTGTTGACCCTGGAACAATATTTCTGTCTGAAAATTTAGTACTAACCCTACCCCTACCCATAACTTCTCCCTAAAATCAGAGGGAAATGAGATGTAACATTTATAACACTGATGTATAAGCACCTAGCCCTGGTTGCAAACCTACACTTCACATAAACCAGTAAACTCGTCCCTCAAATCTGATTGGTTGATTGGAATGTTGTTCCAGGATAGACTCTGTTGTATTAGTCCATTAATCATACTGCTGTAGGATGTGTTGTGCCCCTCACCTGGCTGGAGTTCCCAGTGCACATTTCCGGTATGTCACAATCATTGACAGCCTCACGACAAAGTGCACCCATAAACTCCAGCTACAGACATAGCACAAAGAGCATTAAAAATAACACAAACAGAAGGCTGCAGATTTTTCGTGTACGACTCAGCGCCTACCTGGCAGTTTTTACAACAGAGGCCATCGCTGCATTTGGCTCCCTGCGTCAACATACATTTCTTGCAGCAGTTTTCCCCTTCTCTAGCACACTCCTGCATAAAGACAGAAGAAGAAAAAAAACAGATTACATAAGCAGTGTCAGACTATTGTGATCGTGATGTTGATGTAAGATCACTCACGGCTGGGCTTCCACAGTCACACTCCTCTCCTGCCTCCACAAAACCATTTCCACACTCTGGAGGATCCAAGAGCTACAGAACATAAAATAAAAATAACAAAAGAGAAAGAAAAAAGAACTCTGTTATTTTGCAGCATATATTGCACTACTATTATTTCACATATATTCCTTATTTTCATATACTAGTGCTGGACAACGATTAATCGCAAGTAATCGCATCCAAAATGTGTGTGTACTGGTTATAATTATTTTGTATATACAAATACACACATATGCATGTATATTTGCATGTATATACTGTATAATATTTATACATAATTTATATTATATATAAATATCAATTTTGTATTCAAATATATACATGCATGTGCATTTTTATCAAAATAAGTACACACAGTACACATTTGAATATATTTGTAAACGTAATTTATTGCTGTGATAACTCTGCTCAACTAGTCTTCAGAGTCACATGATCCTTTAGAAATCATTTTAATAAGCTGATTTGGTGCTCAAGAAATTATCCTATTATTATCATCAATGTTGAAAAACCGTTGTGCTGTTTAATATTTTTGTAGTAACCATCACACATTTTTCTCCACATATTCTTCGAACATAAAGTTCACAAAAACAGCATATTTGAAATTTAATCTTTGGAATATAAGCATTTATAGTCACTTTTGATCAATATTAATTTTAAACAAAACTTCCTGAATGAAAGTGTACCTATAAAACTTTGTGAAAGAGCATTCCAATTTTGTGGATGCAGATTCTGTGTGGGCTTAGTGGTGTGCTAAGGAAAGTAAATGCTATGAACTCAGACAGAATTGAAGTGGGTTTACCTTTGAAGGTTTGTTGAAGAGACACGCACCACCTCCACTGTTCAGAAAATCATGAAACTCTTCCACGTTACAGTCAGAAAATCTCTCGGGTAAGTAAAAGCTGTTAAAGAGAACCACAAAGCACAAAAGTCATAATGCCTAATTTTCTTTGATTCATACAGCAGCTGAAACTATATTTTATAGGTTTGTAACACTATCAAATTCACATTGAGCTTATACTGAAAAGCAACTATTTTTACCTCAGTAACCACGTTTACATGCACATAATTCGGAATTCAATGTGCATAAAAACTGACAAACAGATTCTTTTCCCACTACTCACGTATGGAAATACTGGAAGTGCTTACCAGTATGGATTATAATGTAAATGAATATGGATATTCCAATCCTAAATAAAAAGTATAGCATTTCTGATTGGTTTATAGCAATCAAGTTAAATCACGTTTACATGACACAAAATCAAAAGGTTTATGTAAACGTGGTCACTGTTGTGGAAAACGGAGCATATTACTATTAAAAATGATGGACTCGGGTTAGAAAATAGGTTTAACATGAACTGGTCATGCTGAATGTAAACAGCATCAGTCTGGCTGGCAGTGGCTATTGACTCGGTTTCATTCAGACCAGTAGAGGGCAGGACTCAGACTAACAAACAAAACACACCATAAAAACACAAGGAACACGACAACCAAATTGGGTGAAATGGAAGAATCCGTCAATTCCCTTTCATTTGTTTACAGGCAGATCTTGACCTTTTAAATGTGATGGATGTGCTAATTGTGTGTGAATCTGTGTGTTTATATCTATGCTCTAAAACCAGGATTCACACATTTATCTGCCAGCCGAACCACTTTGAATTAAATAGTCCCCCTGAGATTTTAAATCAATATTTCAAGAATTTAACATGTACCATGTGACATGTTTTCTGATGTTTTCTGAAATCAAAGCTTTTTGATTTCTCTGTAAAGAAATTATTGGTATTAACTCTGATTCAATGTCATGTAGATTTTGCTTGCTCTGCATGGTTTTCTGGGTTGTTTGTGAAACTTACTTACCAAGTACTGCAAAACAATGTTATTCGGTACTTATTAAAAGCTTAAAAAGTTTGTTTGTTTCTTGTCTATTGTTTTACCGTGCTGGAAATATTTAAGTATTTTACTTTAGCATGTTATCCTTTGGATTACTGTTTTTGTTCGTCTTGATCCAGAAATCAATCAATCAATCGATCGATGTCAGTTAATGGTCACAGTGCATGCAGGGTAAATAAAATATTTCATCCTTTAATTTTGATTGATTTTATTATTTATAATGACTTATTTTTATGATTTAATTATCTTTTAACCAACTCACAAACCCCTGCAGTTCCTTCATAGTTTGCGAACCCGAGTTTGGGAAACCCTGGTCCAAATAAATTACCCAAATCACTCTCCTTTTAGGCGAATCCTCTCTGATTCTGATGACACTTTCATAGCTTTTGCTGTCCATCCACTACACCCTCTCTTTGATGTAAATCACAATTTTCCCACTTGTAAACAGAGGTGTGGCAGTATGGTTAAATCGTACAGTATCAGGAGAACGGCGAATACTGCTTAGCCTGTATCAGCCGGGTCACTGCCCTCAATATCCAGCAGAGATCATTCCGAACCAGTAAGCACTATTCCAATCAGTAACAGTCTGCAACAATGCAGTTTCAGGAAGCCTTAACCGCAGGCTGCAAATCAATAAGTGCATATCTCACATTATGCCTTGTACAAATGGTTACTCTTCATTTACCAGACGCTGAGTGTGTTCCTGGAATATCAGGGTACCTTTTCTTACCTGCTCGAGCATTGGTAATTAATTTTAATGTGTTGCAGACATTTTCACAGGATTGTTAACAGCAGGAAGACAAACTTAAAGGGGGGAAACAGAGAACACAACATATCCTGCCACATCAACACTGGAGTTAGTGGATCAGATCGGACATGCAGGCTGCACGGAAAATAAAACTCATCAAAACATCTATCAATGGAGAGACAGATCAACATGAGCGTGTCTGTCTGAAAGGCCATTGATACTGTTGTTAAATAACATGAGCTGTGAGAGTGTGCTGTAGCTTTCAGGAAATGATAAGAACAACCCAACTACAACATATATATGTGCATGTTGGAACCACAGGACTTTCTCATACTCAGAAGTTTGGACTTTTTGTCCCAATAGTCCCATATTCTCCTGATAGTGAGAAAGAGCTTAGCTTAGTGTGGTGATTACAACACTTTTTCTCTCAGTTTATGAACTTCTACAAATTATATTCAAGTTGTGGAAATGTTTGCATTGATAAAAACAAAAAGTGAATGACTTAATAAATGTGTTCTGAAACATGACTTGTGAAGAGAAGAAGTCTTTTTTGAGAAGCTAAGCACACAGCAAGACGGAGGGTGAACACATACTGAGAGTGCTGGTGTGAATTTCAGCTAACGTCCTGTCAGTAAGCCATTACATATCAGATGACAGGTGTCAATCACTTTTGTCATCATAATTCTGATTATCTAATTGTATTATAAAAGAGTTTTGCGTTTAAAGGTAGACTGTGTGTGTCTCACGCAGGCTTTATGACATTTGGCATTAGCGTGAAATCATGATTGTTCTGTTCTGAGTGTGAATGACTGCAGACTGTTTTAAACTGTTTAAAGGGGTTATATCACGGAAAATTATGTTTCGGAACTCAAAAAGATTGGAACATTTTTTAAACTATAGTTAATGTAATTTTTTCATGGTTATTATAACCACACAAGGATGCCAAGGTGTTCACTACTTTTTTGTTGTTGCAAAAAGGCTTTTATTTAATAATGGGCTAGTTCAAACTATATAGGACCTAACAACAAATCCCCCCCAAAAAAATTTTAAGGGGCAGAGAGAAGGTGGAAAATACCGAAAGACCTTAGCTAATATTATAAGGAACAAAATAAAAGATTAAAAATGCATGATATGACCCCTTTAAAATGAGAGGATCCCAAAAATCCCCTCTTAATGAAACATGTCCGATTATGAGCTGTCGGCCGAATTAAAAACCAGTGAAAAAATTTAAGAGAGCACACAGGAAACTGCAGAATGTCCCAACATAATGCACTTCCACCATATTGCACTCTTGACTGAATAAAATTAAGGCCATAATGCTATTAGATGGAGTGAGGGGGGCGAGGCTGAAGTGACTCAGCAGCTGACTGGTCGACAGGACACGAGCGAGTAGCATGACACAGCCAAGCGTCTGCTCACCTGCTGTCCCATTCGGGAACAAGGGGAAACGCAAAAGGTATTAAAACACATGGATAAAGACAAACCAACACACACAGACGCACACTGTGACATGAACAAACACCTAACACATCACACGTATCTGATCACCTCACATCGGCATGTCTCGCATGACCACTGTGAATTTCTTTTACCGTTTTAGTTTTAAATACTAATTATCAGTAGTGCTTTGCAAAGTCTGATCATTCAATTTTTCACTTTGACACTGACAAACACGGTTTGTGAATATTAAGACTACTTAAAAAGATCCAGGATGAATTTGAATCATGAAGTAGTGAAATGTCAATGTCCACATGTGAAAGGTCAACAGTGGAGAGCCCGAAATAGAAAATTGGACTAATATGATCAATAACACTTTCTCATTAAATGTTGAGGATTTTGTGTTCTAATTTTACACAGGAGTTCATTGGTCTATCTCACCAAAACATCTTATTTTACCCAAAACAAAAATATTACAGTAGTACTAAGAAATGTAATTCTGAAATGTGCATATTTTGTGGAAGGTTTTGTGAGATTCATCCTCGCAGACTGTACTGTTAATATGCCCACCCAACAACAACAGCCAAATGAAAACAGGACACAGAAATGACTAAGCACCGAGACAGATGAATTGAGATGCCAAATTATTTACTGCCACCTAGTGGACTTTCATGAGAAATAGCATTTAAATCAGTCTCACTTTCTTACTAGCTGCCAGTTAACAACATCTGATGTGACAGAAAGCGTTATGGATCAGTGAGTGGCATAAATTTCAAACACTGTTACTTTGACTACATTTAATGTAACGTTATTAAAGCAACAAAACACAGGAACACAAACTCAGCACAAAGCATGACAGGCTGTTTTACTAAGACTAATTTGCATCTCCAATAGGGTCTCAAAACTTGAGTGAGTTGTGCGTGTTAGGAGATTTGGGAAATCTGCTTTATTAGAAACTTACCCAACATCATCCATTATGCAGCCAGACCATTTATCTTCACACTTGCACTCCCCTGTGTGGGAAAGATGGATTACAGCGGAAAAACTATGAGAGTCAATATGTGTGAGTACTCCCGTGTTTACTGCCAATGTACACGCATGAAAAATATAAAGGTTAGAATAAGAAATGAGAACACTCACCGTTTAAAATGCGCTTCTTATCGGAAAAGATGCCGATATTTTGTCCCAGTGACTGAGCGAGAGTTATGGCCATTTCCTTTCCATACTAACAAATCAGAAAAACACCCAAATAAAATACCTTTGATAATGACAAACAAACAGATTCATTTTAATTACATAACAACAACCACAAACCTCATTGACTCCGCCTCCTTTAGTGAGCGAGCAGACTCCGCCCATGTAGGAAGCTCCTCCCCAGTTGCTATGGAAACGGTTGCCCCTGGAGGCAGACAGAAAGCTCATTAGAAATGTCTATTCACTTGATCATAAAAATAATGTCTGCTGTGTGTGCGTTTTCTTTATAACTCACGAGAAAAGGTGAACGGAGTCGCACTTTTCTTTAATAAAGTCTCTTCGGTACTTCATAAACTCTCGTAATGTGACCATGGGGTCATCGTTGATGTTAAACCTGTTGTCTGCCGCCCAAGTTTCCATTGCAACCAAGACAATTCTAGTGTTGAGTTGCTCTTTGAAATACTGAAGATACAAAAAGATTATGTGTTTGTTATCAACAGGGGAATAAAGAATTGCATCTCTTCCATGTAATTCTCAATCCAAAGGACACATGTGACAACTGCAGAATGATGGATGTTTTTTTGTTTTTCTTTTGACATAATGAACAACAGGCTGAAGGAACCAAATGCCAGCTGCATCTCACGAGAGAGAGAGAGAGATGGAGGAATGTTTATGGGACTGTCAAGGGCAGACAGACTGACAAACAAGCAGATAAAGCAGTTCATGACAAGCGTGTCAGCCTGCTCTATTTGCCTTGAGAAACTGATGAGGATCCTTCAGCAGTTATAATCTGTTTAATACATTTACAATGTAAGTTATTCTGGGTTCAGACCACAATCTCAGCCTGATTTTGGCACGATAAATTTGACGTAGGGTGTCGTATGTGGACGCAAGAATCGATAGTTTTATCTCATTCCGATCGTTTTATCGTACTTCATCATAGTGGAAGACAACCAATGCCACATCGGTAATGCTTCACAACATCCCGACAGAAGCATGGATATTCTGTCCTCCACAACAGGTTTAGTCACATCTGTGACGCTGTGAAGCTCTTGAGTACATAGCTTTCAAACATGGCGAATAAATACGGGATAAATACGCTGTTTGTTTACGCTCTTATTTCTGGAAGTCATTCGCTAGTTCCACCTTCTCGATGACATCATGCAAGTTGTTAAAGATGGCAAGCGATGACTGGTCGTTACAGTATATCTGGTCGGGATATGTTTCTTGTCCATGACACAAAAAGGATTTAGGAGTCCAAATTGCGTAATCTGACACAGTGACTATCGTAACAGACATTTTGATTGTGTAGTAGTCTGAACCTGGCATAAAACCTTACATAATTAAAATAAATAAAAGACTGTTAAATGTATATAGCATGAGCAACTTACCAGATCAGCCATATTTACAACAGACTTGGCATAGTTGTTTGTTTGTCCAACGGAAAGGCGATGCTTCTTGTACTGGGGGAAAATGAACGTGAATGCATAATAAAATTAATGCATTACAGCCATAAGAAAAAAAAAACAATGATAAATTGCATAGAACAGTGGACTTTATCATTTAGGCAGGTTAATAATTAGGTCAATCATGGACTGTCACTAATCTTACCATTAAATGATCATTTATGACCATCAGCTCTACATATTTGGTCTCATCTGCAACACTCCGTGGATTTCGCGATACCTGTGTGAGAAATTGGACATTGTGCATTATTTTCCTGTAGTTTAAAACTCTGATGTGTTCTGAGATAGTGACAAGGGATGAGGATGTATGGTTCCCTTATGATTACATGAATGATTCTTGAGTAGCTTTGAAGAAATAAACAACTAAAAAGTGTGGAAAGTACTATTAGCAGCCTGTTATGAAACCTTAACAAAGACTTTTAATTCCAGCTTTTAATTCCAAAAAACAATGTATCACACATTCAGTCTGACATGCACCAACAGCAAAGTTTAAAGTGGCACAGATACGCATACTGTAATTTTATTCATATTTTGTTATAGTGTTCCATCAACATAAGTAGAAGAATGCAGAATAAACATTACGCATTTCTATTCTAATATTTTTTAAAAAGGAACCTATTTTGAATTAGAATTGTTCTCGACTCCCAAACCTAGTGACAAACATGTTTCATTTCATCACCCTGCAGCAGCAAGACATGCTTACTCCAGAGGAACAGCTGATCTATACATTAGTGCCATAGAGAGTCCACAGCCCTGCTCTAAATATTTCATGAGAGGAGCAGAGATGGTGAGAAAAAGATAGACATACGAAAGAGAGAGAGAGAGAGAAGAACTTACAACAGCATTGAAATCACATCAGAATGAATACTCAGACACACACAATGTCCCACAAGTGTTTTGAACACAGTACACACACCTGTCTCTTTTTCCTTCTGTGGGCGGCACTGAACAGTGGAGGGTTCTGGAATGGTGACTCTGCCAGATGAACTTAAACAAACATTAACTATCAGTATGGACAGTTGAACACAGAGTGTATGCAAACTAAACTAACCTGATTTATAGTGTATAGTATACATGATATATATATATATATATATAATGGTTGAATCCTGGATAGGAGAATGGTCCATACCTGCAGAAATGAAGTCCTCTGGGCCGTCCAAGCTATGAGACTGATAAATCATGTGCACATGAACCTCCTCCTAGAGAGAGGAAATATGATTATGTGTCATATACTCCCACTTAACACTTAGTGAATTTGATGAGGCACAGTGCTCAATCTGTATAAGAAAGAGATAGAGAGCATATTTAATAAAGCAACAGATTTACAAATTAACTAATTACAATGTTACAATGGCCTAAACAAATGTTTAATATTTATAATTTATTGTATGAAACATTTTTGCTATTTAATTAATTGTTTTACCCAAAAGATCTTTTGTATCCAAAATTGTACCCAAATTTATAGAATGAAAACCAAATATGTAACCACCCACCCTGAGAAGTATATTCAGTGTGACTCAAGTATTAAGTGTGTGACAGCAAGTTTATTGTATAGAAATGGGCAAGACCAGCATGCTCATGATTTAATTAGTTTTATTCTGTTTACTTTCATTTTATAACTATTTACATTCACTTTATACGTTTCGGATTTAATGGAGAATGTCGACTGACTGAATCTTAAACTAAACTTTCACTCCTGAATAATAAAAGACTGCACACTATCAGATGAGAAAAAAGGTGCAAGTGCAATAAATAAAAATGAAGTGGAAGAAAAAACTTTTGACTACTGTTTTTGCAGGCCAAAATACAATTTGATTTTACGCAATAGGAAACTCCACCACACTGCATCGATTCGCACACAGTTATTTTGTGAGCGCGCACATGACGTCATGCAGCACCGCACCCGCACAGTGAGTTCTGCGCGCTCCTGAGAGTCCTTATAAACACAACAAGACACGACGGTACGGGACCGCGGAGGATCACCGATTGTGTGAGAAAATGACGATTGTATCACCAAAAGAGTAATTTAAAATTTACTGTTAATCAGGTATGTGTCAGATATATTGGTCCTGACAGCGTCACTAAGATGAAATTAATGCGCAACAGGTTGTATCGTAAAGTTAGCAGTTAGCTGAAATTAGCTAGTTAGCGCTCGAATAGACTCTTGAATAAATAATAACCACATCTGGAATCAAAACAAACCGTAAACATAAACACAAATGTTGAGCCTGTGAAATACAGAAAAAAATAGCTTCAATAGAACAAATATATCGCTTGTGATAAACTGAAACATTCAGTAAGAAACCTAAGAAACTCCTGACAGGGATGCGATTGTCTTAATCTATTGTTTTAATGACATTTACACGGATACTCACCGTATACGGACTAACGTTACACGTCTATTGTACATAAACTCAGAAACATTTATTGTAGTCCACATACACTCTACTTTTAGGTACATAACTTACATTAATACTTACACACTCGTACTAACACAACATGTAAGCAATGCAATCATCACTTAACCCTTTTTTTGACTCATCTACTGTATGTCTGTGAGGGAGGGTATATTACAGTAAGATTTCCAGTAGTCAAATCAAGTCACCTTTATTTATATCTATATAATAGGACTTTATAAAATACATATTGTTTCAAAGCAACTTTACAGTGATAACAGTAAAATGATGCATTTTGTATGCATTGCAAGTCTGTTCAGTGTTGATTCAGTTCTGTTGTAAAGATCATTGAATTAGTTAATTTCATCTATAAAGCAGTTTTGCAAAAAACGTCATCGTCGTCCAGCTCAGTTCAGTTCTCATACAACAGTACATTACACCTTTCGTTTTTCCATACACTGGAAGCCAAATTCAATTTTCAATTTGTAAGCAAACTTTTGCAAATGACTCAAAACATGTTACCCTTTCTCTCTTCATTTTTCTTGATTAACAATTTCCTTTCTTATCTCATCCCCACAAGGATTCCAATTTTTTCCTGACCCCAGCCATGTCTTGCCGCGACATTCACGCCACCAATGCCTTCGCCTTCATCATCGCAATACTGTCGGTGGGTGGGTTGATTGTCGCTACGCTCATTCCTCAATGGAGAACCACACGCCTGGTTACCTTCAACCGCAATGCCAAAAACGTGACCGTGTACGACGGCCTGTGGACCAAGTGTGTGCAGCGAGATGGTTCTACGGGTTGCTATTACTTTGATGCGGACTGGTACTCTAAAATAGATCAGTTGGACCTCAGACTGCTGCAGTTCTGTTTACCTGCTGGTAGGTGCTCAGTGACTTGGCTTGTCAGTTTATAGGGCCATCATTTTTCTGGATTCCATTTTAATGGTTTAATATCATTTTTTAAAACTTAATGTCTCATCTTTTTAATTCATAAAATGTATCAAAATATAAAATTATAATTTATTAACATTTTAACAATAATAGTTCCCTATGAAATGACCTCATATAGCAGTCTTTTTGTGATTTAATATTCACAGACACGAGTCCATTTCATAATTTGATTAAGTGTCCAGCTCGACAAATTTCGACACTTTTATGACTGTATCGTGGAAATCAAAGGGCCCTAAGTTTGTTCTTAAATGTTGACGCCAACCTCTTCTCTGCACAGGTCTGCTGTTTTCCAGCTTGGCTATTCTGCTCTGTCTCACTGGCATGTGTAAAACCGCTTGCTGCTCCAAAACTCCTGATGACATCAAGAACTCGCGCTGCTTGGTCAACAGTTCAGGCTGCCACCTAGTTGCTGCGATGCTTCTGTTTCTAGGTGGGGCCATCGCCATGCCACCGTCTGTCTGGTTCCTGTTCCACACGCGCGACCTTAACGAGCGCTACGAAAATCTGTTTGCCGTTGAGTTCGGGGTGTATGTGGCCATCGGCAGTGCTGGTGGTCTGATCTTAGCTGCTCTGCTGATGTTCATGTGGTATTGCATGTGTAAAAAACTGCCTTCACCCTTCTGGCTACCTCTCCCTGAAATGCCCTTAATGGCCAACAGCCCCTCAGCGCAGCCCCTCATGTCCAACGGCTTGCCTTCTCCCATGACCTACGCCCCGCAGAACTTCCCTCCAGCTGTTTTGGATGCCCCTGCTTTTGTCCCAGCACAGGGGTACCAACCTGTACCAACACAGCCTATGCCGCCCCACATCTACATGCAACAGATGTCTGTGCCTGACGGTTATGGCTCAGAAGTCGGAGCTTCACAAGCATATAGCTACGCCCCCTCTCAAAGCTACGCACCTTCTCAGGGATACGCCCCCTCGCAGAGCTACGCCCCCTCACAGAGGTATGCTGGGCACCGCTATTCCACACGCTCCCATATGTCAGGCATTGAGATTGACATTCCTGTGCTTACAGACTGACACTGCGTTGGGGTGTTCACAGTTGTTTTAAATTAAAGAGGTCAATCTGTTATTGTTTTTCTATTCATTCGAAATAAGAAAATAGCTGTGATGGTCAGTTTGAAGTGAACAAAGGGGTAACATTGACATAAGCTCCATTATTCACTTGATGTAGCAGGTGCCTCTTAGTTATAGCACTGAAAATTGCCAAAAAAGGGGAAAATGGTCATAAATGCAACAACACAAGTGGAATTAGAAAGTTGAGCATCTCTTTCTTAATGTACTTTATTCTTAAAACACATTTCTGTGTAAACTGTTTTTTAATTCCACTTCAATTTAGTGTGACTGGTTTATGTTTGATTTTCAAAGAAAGTAATTTTGCTCATGTTTTATCACCCTGATGTCTTTATTATGCGTTTAAACCTCAATACTAACACTGAACTTATTGTTGATGTTAAGCACTGTATTAACTTGTTAGTAAATATGTCTACTAATATTTAAATATGATTATTAGAAAGAGATGAAACCTACATTGACTACTTACACTCATCTCTGTGGCGTGTATTAATGTCAGTGCCATGAAGTTCCACATTTGTGGTTTAGAGAATATGTTGCTATTGTTTTAAATTCTAATACCTGATCATCGTTTGTTTTTTGCTTTGTGTGGTTGTTACATGACTATATGTGAAGGATAAATAATTTTTACTGCTGTGTTTATGATGTTTGAAATTGATAGAACATTTTTTTTTTTAATTTCTGTTCTGTTTTTAGTTTAAAAATGGTCTAAATGCTAAATGAACACTGACATTTATAGGCTCTCTGTTTTTGTCTTTTTATACATTTAAGAAGAGTTTGCAGGTTTTAAATGAACTTATAGTTTAAACCATGTTACTAGTCTCTGCCTGATGCCTTTGAAAATTTTACTAATTATCAAGACTGTACTTCCACTTTTTGATTTATGTATGAGCCTTATATGAGCAACACACCTTTAATGAAACGAGTTACATTCCAGTCTCCTCTTTTTACTGCAAATGTTTTTGTTGTTGCTTTTTAAAGGTCCCACACCAGAGAAGTCACCGCAATGTAACTCATTGTAATGTTTGTTTACTGTTCCATTAATGAAATAAGAGAAAAACACTAATGTCTTACAAACAAATAGTTTGTCTTACATTGCCTACGAAATAATGCACAGATCTATTTCATTTGGCCTTTTTCTGCAAAGCTGTGTTGCAAAATGTCAATTTTAATTCATGTTTTTTTTACATAGTATATGGACTACTAATGTCTTGAATTCTCTTTATTAAAATGCAATTTATTGAATGACATGTTCTGCTTCGATTTGCTTAAATGCAAGACAATTGCTTGGGTAAACACACTTAGAAAATTGAGTCTGTTATTACTGATTACATGATGAAAATTGTAGTTAGTAATGTAATCTAGATATTTTAGGTAATGTATATTCAGACTAGCCTACTTTAAGATTACTTTTATATTACTTTTGATCTAACTTCTTTAAAATATTTCCCAAACTTGGATTAAAGAACTATAGGGGGATTGTGAGTTGATGAAAAGCTAATGATTAATTAAATAAATGAAAAAAAAAAATTAAAGTGAATAAATTATTTTAAAATAAAAACTCAAAATAAAATGATTGATATTTGATATTTTAGGTTTTGTCAAGTTTGGGAATCCCTGCATTACATAAGCAAACAATAATAAACACGAAAACATTACACATTCAAAGCTTTCTAGGTTTTAAATATTAAAACAATGTCCAAATTAGTGAAGGTCACTGAATATGATTTAGACCGTGTTTAGTAACTTGATTTATTCATCTCATACATGGTGTAATTTTGTCCGTAAATTCAGAAGCATCACATATATTTACATGGCCATGAAGCTAAACGATGACACACAATTGGATTTTTTAAATGAAAATTTAAAAGAGTAAAAAGAATAATTAGTGAGAATCAATAAATTACAAATAATTTACTACTACCATTGCGTAAAGAATATAAAAGACAACTAATCTGATTATGAGAATTTTATAATGTAATGATTATAAATACAACATTTTTGGAATCTGATTACACAATCCAGATTAAATGTAATCAGTTACTACTCAGCACTGAGTTATTTATTGACTATTCATGATATGTGCTTAAATGTTATATTTCTATTAAAGCTCAAAAGACAAGGTTAGAATGTTTGCCAGAATAACATGACAACATTACATTGGAAGCAAAGCAAGAACAAAATATTGAATTAATATTATACCCAATATTTGTGTGTTCTATGTATTTTATGCTTGGTAAAGTACAATGTCGGAAGCATAAGGACATGCTAAATTCATGCAAATTCTACTGAAATCAAATGAAAGTTGCTTCTCTCGAGCACTATTTTTTTATATGCAGCATTGCTGCCTATGTAGAGTATTTTAAAGGTACAGTCACATTTACCATTGTTTGGCAAATTTTTGTGGGAATAATCCAGTCATTTTAACCATTTAGGAATCCATGCAATAGGATTTTCACAGGATTTACCCACACAAAATTTGAATTTGCCACAAGTAACAGAAAGCTGCTCAAATTGAAAGTGACTTCTGTGTGAGCTGTACATTGCTAAACTATTGATAAAAGACATTGGACCTTTTTTAAAAGAAGATATTTTAAAAAATGTTGGTAACCAGCAGTTGGCAGAACCCATTGACTTCAATAGTAGGACAAAAATACTATTGCAATCAATGAGTGCCATCAACTGTATGATTTCCAACATTCTTTAAAATATCTTATTTTGTATTCAAGAAAAAAGAAACTCTCCCTATAAATCAGTCATTTATGAGGATCCATTTCATTCAGGATGCTGCTTCAGAAAGTTAGCAAGGCTCACTAGGTTTTGGAATAGAGCCAATCAGTCTCAAGACATTATAAGTTGACATGAAATATCCAACAACTCCAATATTTAACAATTAAATCACTGCATTTTGCATAAACTTCTATCCACAGTGACTTACAGTGCATTGGAGGCACGTTTATCAGGCATTTATAAGTCCCTGACCTTGTCGTTGCCAGCACCATAGCAACTGAGCTACAGGAACACCACACTCCTCCTGCACGCTTCCACATGCTGCCAGTGGGGAATATCAGTGCGCTAGATAAGAAAGACGAGGGAGACACAGACCTCGTTTCTGTGGAGGCTGTTCCGCTCCACCCCCCATATACTCGCGTATGAGAAGCAGCATTTTGTGACGGATTAGCCATATAACGCAGATGGCCTATCAGATGTATTGGCTTAAAATAAGATGGGGTTTTCTGTATTGGATCAGAGGAGGGTGTGTGTGTTCTCTTGGGGACTAGATCATGAATAGAAAGCAGGTTGGGGGTTGGCACACTTTCTCTTTTTTTTGGAAAGTGTGTTAAGCATGTTGAGGGGGTGGGGTGCCTGAGACAATCTCCCACCCCCAACATTATCACTATCAGGCAAGCGTAAGATTGAATTAATTGCATAAATCAATAATAGATTTTTATTTCATATTTAAATTTGTGTATATCCAGAGAATAAGTTTGGCATCACAAACAACTACAATAAATTCATTATATATATATATATATATATATATATATATATATATATATTTGCTATTTATAACTTAACATTAACCAAAATTAAATTCCTGTTAAATTTGTATTGTTATTAATAAATATAAACAATAATAATATTATTATATTATAATAAAATACATTCAAATACTGTTCAATACATCTGTGGTCAGTTTTTTTATATATATATACAGTATATATACAATTTTGAAAGAACTCTTAACAAGGCTGCATTTATTAGATCAAAAATACAATGAAACAGAAATGTTTTACATAAAAAACATACGTCTTGTTAAATATAATTTATTGAATAAATTAGTTGGGGTTTTTTTAATGTCAAAGATTTTTAGAAAAGCTGCACTGTAATAAACTATGTGTAAAAATACTGTATATTCGTAGCTCTTAGGGTTAGGGTCACACGGCTGGCGTATATTTTCAATTGTTTTCAATGGGAGCGCCGCGTTTTTAAAACGCCATGAGCGTAAAGAACGCACTGAGCGTTTTTTTCACGCTGAAGCGCTGAGCGCTCTGCGCTTTTTCGCAGAGAGTTGAAAAATGTACAACTTTGGATAAACGCAGCGCTCATCACTGTCACTCTTTACCCAGCCGTCCAATCACAGTGGAGTAGGGGCGGGACTAATACCACACCGACCAACCGACACAACATTCTTTCTGTACTACGACATCACCCAGCAAAGCTAACCGAACAAAATGGATGAAAAATAAATGTTTAATATGAAACAAATTATCTGCGAAATCATTTACACGTAAACTGTGCTGCAGATATTCTGTATCATAACAACGAAAATCTCAACTGAACAACTGAACTGAAAAACGTCTAGCGTTTTCAGCTGGCAAAAAAACGCTTTGGTGGACACACGGCTTTAGAGTAAAAATTATTTGCAGCCGAGCTGACATAATTTGAAAAATATAGTTACCATGTTTTGATGAATGATTGCAAATATTAACATTTTTAATTTGGAAATTTATGAATTGCGCATAAAATCACAAACATGATTAAGAAAGCATTGCAAACAGCATCCACTTTGATTTCGTGTTGACTCTAGGTGGGTTGTGAGGCAGTGACCCTAGATGTACTGTGAGCTTTGAGCAGCATCTAGAACTGAGAGACGCTACAGAGGCCAAAGAGGAACACGTTTTCAAGTCCCCTGCTGTAGTGTGAGGCGGATGACAGATGCATGTGCCATATGGTGAACAGGACGATACTGCCCCTCTAGTTTGTGTCTGAAAGAATCAGATAAGAGCACTGCCCTGTTGCTGAGGTCACCAACACGCAAGGTCATAGGGTTGATATATAAAACATGACCAAACCATCAGGATAAAGACGATAAATAAAAGGGTGAGATGCTCATGAGACAAGCTGACGAACCATTACTCAACAACCGGAAGAAGACAAACATTGTACACATTACCACAGAGGAAAAGGCAGTTGTGGTGTGGAAAAAATTAATAACTAGGGAGTGAACTAGGAATCAGTAACATCAGATACAAAGGTCTTGAGATTCATATACAAAAAAAACTACCAAAAACTATTGATGCTCCCCATTATAATCAACTAATCTGTCTACACTTCAAGCAGCGATTTTTTATGTGGCACTTTATTTTTGGAAATAATATATAAAATAAAGAAAATAATTAAATATAGTACATTTATTAATTACACACACAATATAATGTATATATACTATACATATATATACACATTTATATATATATATATATATATATATACTATACATATACATATATATATATATATTGTGTGTGTGTGATGCTGAAGTGAATGTATTATATATTTAAATAACTTCTAACTATAATAACTTCTAACTATTACCTTAAAGACATTTCTTAGAGCATAAATAAAGATTTATAATACATCTGTGACAGATAAAAGCAAACTGTATATGGATCATGAACTCCCTTCTGTGTCACTAAGCAGGTTTCATTATCCTATTCTTTTATTAATAGGAGAATAAAACGGGCTTAACTTTAACATTCCAGCCTTTCACCTTTGCTCTAAATGACACAAATCTCTTCATTAGCATTTTCCTCTGTGAATCACTTGAATCAGATCACCATTCTGAGGTTAAGAAATTATATTTTCCTCTCTAAACCTTAGTGTCTCAGTGACACAGCATTAGCTCGTCTTTCACAGATATGCCCTCGTTGTTCTCTGGGGGTGTTCACGTGGGATTCTGCCATTAGCAGATAATAGCTGTGCTTTTGCAGAGTCAGGTGTCTCTATCGACTGTGTGATGGGCTTATCGGTCAACTTATACCCTGTCTGCACAGGAAAACCCTGTTAAACCCCGCTCTGGGTCATTTCCTTGCCTCAAACAATCACTATCAAGTAGTTTCATCCAGGTAACAGAAATAAATTCATGTACTTGTATTCAGAGTCAGAGTGAACTGTGGTGCTAATAGTCTCACGAACCAGCACGTCACGCAGCTGTGCACAGAATACCAATGGCCAAGGTCAGGATTTTCTTTAAATAACTAAATGTCAGTTTGTTTTTTTCCAAACCCTATCAGTTACCCCCCAGAAAACATGGGATATACGGCACGTGTTTCATGGGACCATTCTGTCACCAGCCCACAATTTCAAAAAAAGTTTCATTTATACTAAAACAAAAGTAGAGATGCAGTAGTACAGAAATTTTAGCCAGTACAATCATTATTTTTACTTTATAGCTGATAAAGATATGGCGCACATTATAAATATATATAAAAAAATATATAAGGCGATATAATGCATATATAGATGAACATTCTCTTTGTTTAATGCAGTAATCAACTACTTACACTCGTAGTATTCTCTCTTCCCGGTTCGATCATGTACGTGTGATTCCCATCAAAAAACATCCCACTAGAGAGAGAGGAAAAGAGAGAGATGGTGAACTGGTGAGTTATACAGTTTAGTGGCTTTTATACAAAAACGTTTGATCCCAAATAGAAAAGAGAGCACATGCTAAGCATCAGATTTATGAGCTGAATTGAGCTTGAATGGATTTTAAGTCGAGTTTGTTAGCAGAATTGCAATTTAAATCTGAATGGAAGTAAAAGAAGTAGAATAATTAAAATTAACAGAAATTCAAAGAAATTGTCATTTTAGTCATTTTTAACAATAAAAGCGAATGCTGGCTTGACAAAATATTAAAAAAGTTAAAAAGCCTTGAAGTTTGGAGGTTCTTCTGGAAGTTAAAAATTGTGCGCAACCCCTGCTCAATACTGCACTGTCACAGTGTCTGGTTGTGTTTCCTTGTTTGTCCACTAGATATCTTCCTTCCCCTCGGTGTCATGTATTTCTGGAACTGCATTTCCCAGCATTCTGTCTGTCACTGTCACTCATCAGTTCATTGCACTCAGCTGTTCCCTGTAATCATTGTTCCCAGCTGTTCTGTGTTAGTCTTGTTAGTTCTGTGTATATATTCCCTGTCTGTGTTAGTTTGTGTACGGATTCGTTGCTGAATGTCACTAACACTTCCGAGGTCTGGTTTCTTGCCTGTTCTTGTTTTGTTTCTTGTTTATTTGTTTATTGGACTGCTAAAATGGATTTTGACCCCTGTATGGATGACTATGAGTTGGATTGCCCTGATAATAAATATGCTGCATTTGGATCCACCTGTTTCCCTGTGTGTTCCCGTGACGGAACGAATCCGTACACAAACTAACACAGACAGGGAATATATACACAGAACTAACAAGACTAACACAGAACAGCTGGGAACAATGATTACAGGGAACAGCTGAGTGCAATGAACTGATGAGTGACAGTGACAGACAGAATGCTGGGAAATGCAGTTCCAGAAATACATGACACCGAGGGGAAGGAAGACATCTAGTGGACAAACAAGGAAACACAACCAGACACTGTGACACTGCACAGTATTTATTGTAAACTGCATACTAACATTAAAAAAAAAAAATTCAGGGTGAGATGCTCAAAAGACAAGCTGGCGAAGCATTACACAACAACAGGGAGACGAAGATAACCCCATATTTCACACATTACCACAGAAGAAAAGGTAGTTGTGGAAAAAAATTGTATCATCATGACCTCATCATGTTGCATGATTAATTCAATGAATAATTTGGTTATCATCTTTGACATAAAAGTACTGCACAAATAATTAGCGTATGGTAATGAGATTCATCCATCTAGAAGATAATTCAGTACTGACTCTCCAAATACAGGTCAATCTTACACTTGTATACCAAGATTACACCTGAGGAATAATGAAGCATATGAAGACGGCGTGTGTGCGTGTGTGTGTGTGTGTGTCCAGACGTCTCTTTTAGCCTTGAGACATGCAGAGAGGATATCATTCTCTGCTCTGATGAAGTCTATCTTTCGGATCAATCAGTCAGTGACTCTCAGAGAGCCTCCAGACAGTGCCGAGACACTCAAGGTGACTTCTAAAAGCACAGCATGCATTAGGAGGACAATACAATGCCCTTTAGCCTGACTATATCCATAAATACTGAGTGCTGCCTCTCTGGTACATACTGCACATATGAATCGTAAAAGATTTTTTACTGGATGACAAGAAAACGAAAGTTTATCAAGACAAACACTAGTCTCACATTGTTTTTCTTAAGGGAACATTTAGGAAATGAGCGAACGAGCGAACGATGGATGGATGGATGACTGTTTATCTGGCCCATAATATAAAACTGCAGACTCAGCAGTGCTGATCCCTCCCTCTCACACATACACACACTGGAGAAATTATTGTCTCTCTGATACACTCTAAAAAATGGTGGGTTGTTTTTTCTACTCAAATGTGTTTGGGTCATTTTGTTGGGTTATTTTGTCCATGGTTGGGTAGTTTTTTTATTACATCCCCCCACATCCGCCCTCCAACGCAACAACCCAACAACCCAGCAGATGGGTTATACAGGCTTTTTGCATCCTCGTCAGGAGAGGGCAGTTCTCAATGCCGCCGAGTTGGTGCATTTCATCTGAAAAATGGTCTGCATATTTTATTTGGTCTATATAGTATTTACTGTGCTGTTAATCATTTTATTTAATGCAATACTGCATACAGGGATGAAATGTCAGTCAGCTGAATGTGTCAGTCAGCATCGGTCGACTAGCATGATGGAAACCTTTTTTCTTGAATAAATAAATGTGATTTTTATTCATCATAATACTGAATCTAATTAATTCGGATGTTAAAATATGTTCTCAGATTTCGCCCACACAATGCTACAACAGGTTACGACAGGAATATATGTGGAAAATAGAGGAAAATTAATCAAAGAGGAGAGGAGAGAGAACTTTACAAACTGGCTGCAGAGAGTTTTAGCCATGGTGCTTTTAGTCTGTTTGTTGGAGTGAGAAAAAAATAAGCGAAATATGGTAAAATTTGCTTTTAAACGCAAGTTATTGAATATTTAACATTTAAAAAGCAATTTAATTTAACTGTAAAAGCTGTATAATTGTTTTCACTCATACTTTTTCACTCACATACACATGTACATGTTGTTTTAACTATTGCCTATATTTTTGTGCATTACTGGGTGTTCTTGCTTATTAATACATTTTCACCATTTGATTATTATTCTTGCCTGTGTTCAGTTCATTAAACAATAAGTTGACATTAATTTCACAATTTTAAAAACAGTGTAAATTTGGACTGTTTTTGCATTATTTCACAAAGGAAAATAGTTTTGAATGAATCAAAACACTTGTGTCTCCCTGCAATACAGCATAGTGTTTCGTTCATGAATGAATCAGCCAGTTTAAATGAATCAGAGAATGAATGATTCTTTAACTCACATATTAAGACTTGCCGCCACTTACTGGCAGTTTGTATCTGACTTCATTTTTATGTCTTTATTATAGTAATTATGAGAGGGGTGCCCTTTTTTCTCACTTGAGCACCTTCCTCCTTTAAATGTATGTCCATGGCCATGCTGATTTGCATCAATCCTTTAGTACTAAAACAATCAGATATCATGCACATTTGAAGAGAAGCTATTTAGGCAGTAAACATTCGAGTGTGAATGTTAAGAGCGCTGCCGCTCTATTTCTGAGCTACATCTGACCTGACTCTGTACATTCACATACAGAAAGAGAGAGAGACAGGGAGAGATGGATCTGACCTGACTCCTTCTCACACTAAAAATACAGACAGAAGGAACTGAGCAATCCCAGAGGGCCACAGAGAGAGGTGGTGTGTGTGTGTGTGTGTGTGTGTGCGTGAGTAAAGCTCTATAGAGACTAACTCAACTCTCCTCAGGCACACGGGCAGCTCAGGAACACAGCTAGGTTTACTTCAGCTATGCAGAGAACACAGCAGGTTGCCAATAATACAAACATAAATCTTACAAACACAACAAATATTACATTTTCACCATGCAATAGTGGAGCACAAGGCCAGATGTAATGCAACAAGCGATAAAGCATTAATACAGGAGATAACAACAAAAGCACACACACACACACAAAGAGTGCTGGGAGCATCAGTGTGTTATGAGAGGAGGATAATAGCATGCTGTAATTGTACAGCTCTAATTGTTGAATGGGATAATCACAGCTTTGGCCTGCTAAATAATGTGTTTATTTATGAATGTGCCTTAGAAAGAGACAGACAGTTGTGTGGGCAACAGCTGCTTTTTGTAAACCCGTGTGTGTTTGCGTGTTCATTCAGACATGACGCACAATGACGGAGCGACTTACTGTAATCCATGGCAAGTTGAAAGCGCCACATATGATTTCAGAATATCACGTATTTTCCCATGGTAGTAACAGTGTTCTCCACCCTGCAGGGGGAAACAAACAATAATCAAAAACAGCACATACTGTTAATATGAGCCTTGAATGTGCCTCATCCAATCAGAATTTAGTGAGTCAGAAGAACCATCCCTTTTATAATACTAGATTTATTGTTTTGTTTTTAACTGAAGCGCTACATATTGTGATGCAGCTGTTGAATAATCAATATATATATATATATATATATATATATATATACACTACCGGTCAAAAGTTTTAGATCAGTAAGATTTTTTATGTTTTTAAATGAAGTCTCTTCTGCTCACCAAGGCTGCTTTATTCGATGAAAAAAAAAGACAAACAGAAATATTGTGAAATATTATGATAATTTAAAATGACTGTTTTCTATTTTAATATATTTTAAAATGTAATTTGAAAGCTGAATTTTCAACATCATTACTGTTGCTGATTACACATCAGCAACAGTAATTTCAATGTCACATGATCCTTCAGAAATCATTCTAATATGCTGATTTTATGCTAAAAAAACCCAGAAATTATTATTTTCAATGTTGATGTACCATTTTTCCCCAAAAATTCTATGAAGAATAGAAAGTTCAAAAGAACAGCATTTATTTAGAATATACATTTTTCAAACATTATAAATGTCTTTACTGTAACTTTTGATCAATTTAACTCATCCTTGATGAATAAAAGTATTTTTTAATTTCTTTCCCCCAAAAATAAAAAATAAATTCTTACTGACCCCAAACTTTTGAATGGTAGTGATTAATGTTACAAAAGCTTTCCATTTCAGATCAATTCTGTTCTTTTGAACTTTCTATTCCTCAAAGAATCCTGAAATAAAAATGTAAAAAACTGTTTTCAACATGGATAATAATCATAAATGTTTCTTGAGCATCAAATTATAATAATTTCTGTAGGATCATGTGATACTGAAGACTGGTTTCATGAAGATTTCATGTTGACATTAAATGTTTAAATTCTGAGTGTGTGGCTCAACATTAACACTGGCTACTTTTGTTTGTACAGAAGCGATCACAAGATTCGTAAGATTATTCCTGAGTGTGTGTTATTTATGAAATGTTTTTAGTGTAAGTGCTCGACTGCCATTAGGGCTGCAGGTTTTCTCTTCCTGCTTTTTCTCAGAGGACTAAAGCTGCAGCATTTACCAACAGATCAATTTCATTTCATCCCTTTCTCTTTCTTTCTCTCTGCACTGGACAAGAAGCTTCATACATCTAGGTTTACCCGTTCCTCTGCTTCCCTCTTTCCTCCATCTTATTCTGGAGCATTTCTGCCTCTTTTTTTCCACATGTAGCACTTTCTGTCCTCAAGAGTTCTCAGCTAATCAAGAGCCGAGGGCAGTCTCTAACACACACACACAGAAACATTCCTGAAGAGTGCAGTTATTGTTGTGGAAGCCCCTTTCAGACTAATGACCCGGCACAGAGAGATGGGCTGTCTCCAAAATCTGAAAAATACTGCCTTCTTGTGCAGGATACAGAGGTGGGAAAGGGATTGGGATCTTCTTTTACATAAGAAGATGCCTGACATTTTTTTTTTTAAATACAATGGTGTTCAAATTCAAGGTCAGTAAGATTTTATTGAATTTTTTTTAGAAAGAAATTAATACTTCTATTCAGCAAGGACACATTAAATCGATCCAAAGTCACAGTAAAGACAAAATACATTATTTTTATTAAAGAATCCTGAATAAAATGTATTGCAGTTTCCACAAAAGTACTAATACGCAAACTCTTCAGTAAATTCAAATAATTTCTGAAAGATCATGTGACACCAGTAATGATACTGAAAATACAGCTTTTCCATTACAGGAATAAATTACATTTTAAAATGTATTGAATTGGAAAAGTTAAATTGCAAAAATATTTCTGTTTTTACTGTATTTTTTTTATTTAAACAAATGCAACCATGGTGAGGATACGATACTTCTTTCAAAAACATTTAAAAAGTCTTAGCATCCAAACTTTTGAATGTTAGAGTGTTTATTACTTGGATTTTTATGCACACTATTATATATAAAAATTATAAGTGCTATTTTCAGGTTGAAGCAATTTTCTCAAGATTGTTGTTTTTCATCTCAGCTTTCACAAAACATACAGTAAATAAACTTTTCACATAGTTTCTCAACTCATTTTATAGATCTAATTTATATATTTTATCAAATATTATATTATCAAAATGCATTTCCTCAAACTTATACATAAAGTCATGGACAAAAATATTGCAATAGTGAGAGTATTAACTTGTTCAAGTTTAATAATGCATAATATCTAATTTCATAAATAAATATATGAATAATAACAAATAAAATATATATAAGGTCACACTTTAGATTAAGGTTCAAGGTAGTTAAGTTTAGGAATGGGTAAGCATTTGGGTAGGATTAAGGGATGTAGAATGTGATCATGCAGAATAAGGCATTAATATGTGATTTATAGGTACTAATAAACAGCCAATATCCTAGCAATATGGCTGCTAATAACCAACTAGTTAATAGTGATAATTTGACCATAAACTAAAGTATTACTAATATCTGTGTGTGTGTGTGTGTGTGTGTGTGTGTGTGTGTGTGAGAGCGAGAGAGATAGCATTATATATTATTTGTATAGTGCTAAATCTGTAGTTAAACTAATAGGTTATTCACTATTTCAGTGAGGAGATGAAGCTAAATATATCTGTGCTTCTGCTCTAGAATTTGTTCACTGGCTCTCTTTTTCTCTCTTCATCCTCTGCCTCTTCATCCATCCCTCAGTTATTCCCTCCTTCTTCACAGAACCCTCCGCTCTATTTTTTTATTCATCCTAGAAACAGCCCTTTTACCCTTACATGTACACTGTGTCCTCGGGCTCTACAGCTGGGTTGTGAGCTATGTGGATTTGAATCTCTTCACTGAAGGCTTCTAAACTCAGATCAGTAACCAAAAAAATACATAAAACATGTTGAAGGGGCCATATCGAAGTTCAATCATAGAATATGGCCCTTTTAAGAGTTTATAAAAAATAACTCAGAAAACAGACACGTCCACTATGCATAATCTGTCTTAAACACACACCTTGAGACGATGATGTCCAACATGCAGTACCATGCATGACCAGGACGCTGAATGTGATTTCACCGTAGTACAAATAAAAGAACAAGTACAACATGTTCCTGGATCAACATCTTTGTTGATCCCGGAACAACATATCAATTAACCAATATGTTAAGTTTAGGCTTCCAAGAAGGGTTATGTGTGTCACTTAAGTCATTTCCCATTGATTTAAGGAGATTTAGGGGTAGGGATATGGTTAGGACTAAATTTTCAGACAGGAATGTTGTTCCAGGATCATCAAAATATGTTGACCTAAGAACATGTCTTGGCAAAATCACGGTGACCCAAACAGGACACATATCCCTGCCCCAATCTGCCGCTGGGCTAAAACAAGCAGCAAACACCTTCTGCTCTGGTTGTGATGTGTCCCATCTGAACACACACATCTCGGTATGCTGACAGAATGAAGCTGAGAGTCCCAGTTTGCCACAAAGAGAGATCTGATCAGACTATATTCACTGTCCCAAAGAGAAACGCAAAGTCATAGAGGGGAAAAAGAGGGTCACGGCATTTACACAAATTGTTCAGTAAAATGTTAATTTTAAGTTGAATAACCTGGAAAAGGAAGTGGAAGAACCTCTTGTTTTGTGTTATGAATCTAATTTCCGTGGGAATTTTCCACCAAACATCCACCAATCTTTGCGTTTGAATACCTTTTTTTTTTGGTATAAACCCTTTTAAATACATGTAGTAAATAAAAATTATGCACAATTACAAGTAACTAACCCTAAATCAAACCCTGACCCTAACCATAACTCTAAGTACATTAAAATAGTTAATTAACATCACTCACTACATATTTATGTACAATGTAACAGCGTCACCTTAAAATAAAGTTTACCACATACTTGTGTGAGCATGCTTTTAAAAACAAATTAGATTTTATACTCACTTTGTTGACAACTGACTTCCCCTCCTCCGATATGTGCCTCTCAATGTAATTTGATGATAGAAGATCACTGAAGAAAAAGAGCAGAAGTATACAGTTGGCAAAAAGTGAAATGTTGTCTGGGTTAAAATTTTTAATATTTTCACAGAAAAGCAAAGCAGTTTGCAAATAAAGCTTGACATAAGTTTAGATTTAGGCTTTGTTCAGAAACCATCTGCAATGTAAAGGAAGTTAAATAGATGTAAAAGAGAAAAGACTAAACAGACTTAAGTATGCAAATACTGTATTATAAATGGAACATTACATTAATATAGCGGGATACCTTAAATTTCTTAAAGAGGTAGAAAGTTTACAAAAATGTATAACACACCTAAGATTACAAGATGAATGGATGGATGATTTAAATGTATAAGCTGTTTAAACTTAAAAAAAATGCAGATTTTATGGAGAAGAAAAATAGACTGTCTGAGTAATATCAGCACTGTAAATTTGATTCATCATCATCCTCCCAAGCACATCACTCCTGTTGATCCTGGCATCACACATTTAATGATCAGATCATATCAACACTCATGTCATCCTGCTTATCTAACAGAGAACCGAATCTGAAATGGGATCTGTGTTCCAGTTAACCTGAGGAGAGATCCACGGCTGATTTCATACATCACAACTCACACCAAGTTGTGTTCAAGGACACTTTAGTGTGTGTGGCAAAGCCATGATCAAGAATGAGTTCATAAACTAGGGTGAGAGTTTCACTGGATGTGCACACTTTAGTTTTGTGCAAGCCAAATGATCCAATTGCAATGGTACGGTAGCAAAAAAACAGATCGAGCGCAGGAGGAGAGAAGGGTCAGAGTGTCTCCCAGCAGGAGTTCTGACTGATCAGTAACCATGAGCTCGTCAACAGGACAGTCACAGCATGACATCAAACCAGCCTTTAAAGACAGAAACACACATCTTCAACAACGGCTGTTCACTAAACCAAGTGATTAGCAGGATATTTATGGAGCTGCAACGCTGTAACATGCGAAACACTAACAACGACAAAATAAATGTTTGTGTTTACTGTTTACGGACTCGTGCTGTGGTAAATGCGTGAGAGGGGTGGCAAGACAGAAATCAAAACATGGATACAAGGACTAATAGAGGACAGGATAAAAACCAGGGGCTAGAGAGAGAAAGACTGAGCATTGGGAGAGGATCAGAAAAGGAGAAGATAAAGAGAGCGTGATAAAGTGGGATGTCAGAGAAAAGAAACAAAGTGATTGATGATAAGAGCTGCGTTGCACACACACAAACGCACACCCTCATTTATACATGCACCATCTCAGCCTCCAGTTGCTACAATCTCCAAACCATCACCTCCCTTAGGCCGTGTGTCCACCAAAGCGTTTTTAGCCAGCTGAAAACGCTAGACGCTCTGCTAAGACGGCGTGCTTTGGGCGCTTGAGAGCGTTTTGGCAGCGCAGTGTTTTTTTCCGTTGAGACGTTTCGTTGCTATGATACAGAATATCCGCAGCAGTTTGAATGTTGTGACAGTTGGTCAGTGTGGTTTAGTCCCGCCCCTCCTTGACTGTGATTGGACGGGTGGGTAAAAACTGACAGTGATGAGCGTTGCGTTTTATCCAAAGTTGAACATTTTTCGACTCTCGGCGACCAGTATAAAACGCCGGGCGCTCGGCGCTTCAGCGTGAAAAAATGCTCAGCGCCTCGTTACGCTTATGGCGTTTAAAAAAACGCGGCGCTCCCATTGAAAACAATTGAAAACATACGACAGGCGCGTGGAAAAACGCTTTGGTCGAATGGACACACAGCCTTATTTGACAATAGTGGGTGAAAATTTGCTGAAAATTATTTTAAACTGCTTTTTGCATTTAAATAAAATACAATTATATAAAATAAATAATTAAAAACTCCTATTTAAATTATATTATTGCATATTTGAGACAAACTGAATGGGACTTTGTCACTCACAACATTATGTACAAGATGAATCTCTGTCTCTTTGCTATGTATCTGTCACTGTGATTTTGTTACTTATATTTTAATTTCGTCGGCTTTGTTTGTCGTCACATTAAAGCTGCAGTAGGTAACTTTTGTAAACAAATATTTTTTTTTACATATTTGTTAAAACTGTCATTATGTCCTGATAGTAGACTATGAGACAGATAATCTGTGAAAAAATCCTGGCTTCTCCCAGTGGTCCTATTGCCATTTGCAGAAATACACCGCTACCGGTCAGAAACAACCAATCAGAGCCAGGAGGAGTGTTTCTGCAAATGGCAATAGGACCACTGGGAGGAGCCAGAAGAGCCTGATTTTTTCACAGATTATCTATCTCATAGTCTACTGTCAGGACATAATGACAGTTAACAAATATGTAAACAAATATTTGTTTACAAAAGTTACCTACTGCAGCTTTAAGTGCTTTTAACATAATAAATAATATAGAAAAAATATTATACACATTTATTTAACATCCTAAAATGTCTGATAATACATGTAATACAAAAAATATATTTATATAATCTCAAAACCCTCCTTCATCCCCAGCTCCACCTATAAATCTGCTACGGCTAATTCATGTATGCTTTGTACAGCAGCAACATGTCTTACTTTCTCACAGCAGCGTGTCTGTATTGTATGTATTGTATTGGTCCCATAGTTCTGCAGCAGCAACAGCACATATACATATATACACACACACATTTAGTCCTAAACTTTCTATAATATTATTTATTACATTTATACAAGTTTTTTTTTTTTATAATATGAAAAAGACAAGAATGACCAAAGAAAATAATAACACTTTTTCTTTAGTATAGTCTGAGCATGCAGGGGACCTTAGTGGTGATCTTAGTTTCAATGCAAAACCCGGCATCATGTGTCTGTATACTGTACCAGGTGTAGATGCAGTGGTGGAAAGCTGCAGTATATAGTACTTTGTGAAATGCAAAGGTAAAGGCTGATAACAGATTTCAGTTTTAATTGCTTTGGGATTTGAATAATTTATAAGGAAAGCCCCACAATTCCCCATCCCACCACATCCCATTTCATCTTCACACACACCCTGCCCTACAAACATTTTAATATGGCACTGTCACATGACTAGAAAATGGCTCTCATTTCTCATGTAAAGCCTAATGGACTGATTCATTGTATGAGACAGACACCGAGAGGGCGAGACATGCTAATTAAAGAGGGAAACCAGATGAATAGAAATGAAGGTTTTACAGAATAAAGAACAGATTGTGTATCAAGTAGCACTGTATTATCTGTGTATGAGGGGAAAAGGTTCTGCTCCAAAAACCGAATGTGCTTATCTGAACTGCATTTTAAGACATCATGCAATAATTATGCAGGCATATAATACCTTTAGCCAAATTTTAAGGTAGCATTGCATGTGTTCTTTGGAAAGAAAACAACAGTATGCCAGGATGCAGGAGTCCCATATACAAATCTGATATTTTAGAGAAAGGCATTATTTTAGGTTTCTACCTCAGCAAGGAAACATCAAATTAAACAGAAGTGACAGTAAATATATTTATGTTATAATTTTTTTTAAATAAATGCAGTTCTTTTGACATTTTGATTCATCAGAGAATCAAGGGGGGAAATCAAGCATCTTAACTGATTTCAACATTGATTCATTAATTTAAAAAATGTTCCTTGAGCAGAAAATCAGCACAATAGAATGATTTTTTAAATGAAAACAGTTATTTTACGTTGTAATAATATTTCACTGGTTTTACTGTATGAAAAATGCAGCCTTGGTGACTGAGCATATACTTTCCAAAACAAGTCCACATGAAACGGAAGTTGAGATTGTTTTTCCCTATCGTGACGTAAATCCGAGTGAATTGGCTTCTTGAATTGTTGTGATTGTTTTTCCCTATCGTGACGTAAATCCGAGTGAATTGGCTTCTCGAACAAGAAAAAAAATGTAGGACAGGACTTGATTTTGTCCATTGGTTAATAGTAATTGATGGTTGTGGTTTGCTCTCATGTGAAATCAAACTTGTGACCAGTAGATTTTTCCTTATAAATAAACAGGTATGGATTTGCACATATGCAGCATCTTTAGAGACTATGGATTTTGTAAGTCTGGTTCTAGACCCTGGAGACCAGCAGAAGAACATCTCCCCTGAGGACAGGACACCATCTAGCACAGAAAACCCTAATCTCTGATCTAATTAGTACTCATACTCTGCAGTTCACTTTTCATATGGCACACTTATAACCAGTGTAATCAAATGTTTTGTAGACTTTTAGATTCCATTGAAATTTGGAGACTTGATCTGATTCATGGTATGATTTGTGTTTTTGAGATTAAGATAGTGACTCAAAATCCCTTTTTGAGAAAATACAATGTTCATTAGAGACTCATGTCTGTTCATGTTCACCGAAAAAAACAACTACAGTACATCAGACAGAAGTGAATGATATAAGGCATCTGTTTAAAAGAAATAAACATCACGTTAAAGTGTGAGAGCATTTGTTAACGTGGGTGTGTGTGTTCGGAAAAGCTGAAGTCAGTAGGCCTATTATAAAATGTGTGCTGAGCTCTTTCAAACTTGCAGCACTGCTCGTATTCCCAAAGAGACAAAACTGCAACCTAAGCAAACAAGAGACCTGCGAACATCCAGCCTTACCCACACACACATTTACAATTATAACAAATGATCACTACAATTAAATTAAATGTGCTCAGGAAGAAACAGCTAAATCTAACCATAAACATGGAAGAACTCGTGGACACAGGAATGGTCTTCGAGTTTGCAATGTAAGAAAGGTTTGGTGTATTTCAAAGAGAGACCCTTCCCCCCATAACAATTCTGAGGGGAGCAGGTGCAGTCGTTCGCATTGTTAACGTGTGTGTGTTTCACCAGCCCCTCCCACTGAGCTTGTTAATATCAAATATGTTCATTATTTACACTGGTTTTCCTTCACAAACAAATAAAAAAAAGATTTCTAGCAGATTAAATATTTTAACATAAACAGAACTGTTTTTTTTTTTTTTTTTCGGGATTCTTTGATGAGTAGAAAGTCCAAAAAAACAACATTCAT